GTCTGTGTAGTAATAAATCAGACAGTTGTCTAAGCTCTCTGATCGTCATCCTTCTCTTTAAAAACAACACTTCTCAGCTAAATAAAGCTATAACACATGACCGAGCGGCTGTTCCAGCTCATTATTAGAGTCGCTGTTTTTGTTAGCATCATAAGAAAAATGGCTCAGATGAAAACTTCTCAGAAACCAGTGAGACAACACCACGCATTTTATTTGCATAAAACATGCTGAATGATTCTGTTGTGCACTTGTTTTTGCACTTCCCTCCATAGTCGGTTGAAATTAATTCAAAGAGAAAAGTATCGATACAGAGCAAAGCATCTCTTGTTACTCTTGTTAAATGCACAGGGCTTTAACTTCATATAAAATTATATCACAACATTTCTCCCTTTCATACTTTAACATGTGAAACCATCACTGTCTGACTGATTTTACATATTGATACCACTAAAGAATGGTAGGATTTGCCAAATAAAAGCATAATTTTTCCATTTTCGTGACAAAAAACAAAACTCCTGAGACATGGTGTTGACATCATAAGTTTAAAGCTGCTGACTGAGTGCTCAAAGAGCTCTGTGAGAATATAAAATGAACCTCGCCATGATGACTAACAGCCCTCTGGTTGTCACAGCACCGTACATCACTTTGTAAGTGCGTTATAAACACAGTTGATGTGGACAGTCCAAATTTTTCACTACAATTTATTCATCAGCTAAACCTTTAATGTTTGTTGTTTAACTCTCAGACTTGTTAATGAAACAAGCATATTAATATGTTGTGGCCTGTAAAATGAACAACAATAAATGGCCAATAATATTGAGAAAATGTTGCCTTGCAGCTTTAATCTGAAGGCAACCATAAAGCAAATCCAAAGTGAAGCCATACTTTACACGATTACATGTGGAAAGTATGGACAGTATATGTCATTGCACCGCATATATTTCCTGTAGCACAGTTTCCACAATTCTGTCTACGTTGTATTATTATCTTTGGCTGTACAGAGCATTATTATTAGTATTAGTATTAGTAGTAGTAGTATTAGTATTGTAAATCCTATCAATAGGCATCCTATTCCCTTTATCATCTGCTTCTTTTTCCTTAGAGCTTAATCACCACATCACATTTCCCTGATGGTCCAGACAGTCTAGTCTTTTCCTGGAAAATTGGGATCATGTGTGCAGAGGAAGATGGAAACATGCACAGAAAGCAGAGATTACTTAGAAGTAGGCCACAAGTTCTACATGAGGGCTACATGAGTTGATATACTACCAGCTGGCTTTGATATAGTTAAAAGACTAAAAGGACTTTCTTAGAATCTGAGCGGCACGAAAGTACTTTAAATGCTCTCACAGGGACATGAGCACTTCAATCAACTCATTCTAACAATATCTTAACCTTGACCAAGTAACCATGGGAACAGGGTGAGACTCCCCTTGTTTAGTCTAAATTAACAGCTACTGGACAACACCAAGAATGTTAAGAATAAATAAAGTATTATTGCAAAAGCATGCTGCATACACATGCAGACGGCTTCTTTCAGTGATGTGATTATCATTTTATGCAGTACAGTCACATGACCCCTGGAGAAAAAAGGGTAAATTCCATACAAAACCACCACAGCACATATCAAGGCAAGTGTAACATGTTCTGATACCGCCACAACACAATCGTTTACATGAACACTTGTATCTTTGATACAAGTGCTTGATAGCAGCCAGACGTAAACATGATTTAAAAAGGAACATTGTGATTTTTACTATCAGTTTAGTGGAAAATGCCCTGAAGTTGCCTGATGCCTAAAATATGATGTCTCCTTTGATCTGCTCCCATACTAATTGTGAAAAGTGCATCAAACAGGGTTCAGCTTGAACAGTGGCACTGTTACCAACGATCGAGATGAGGTTAAAGTGCAGTCAAAACGGCTCACTGAGATCTAACAATGATTCTTTTTACTGTTTTAATTTTTACTGTTCTTTTTATTGTTTTACTGCTGGGGCCATCCTAAGCTGCCTTAAAACTATGCAGCCCCTGAAACATAATGTCCAAGTCAGATCATTGCCACTGTTATGATGGAAGGTAGCATATGCTTTTTTCTGTATAAAGGTCACAATGTATAGTTGTATATCGACACTTGCATTCCTAGAGAACATTAAAGTGCCACACTTTAAGTTTAGCAATAACTGTTGTATAGATGTTGTGACATGTGATTCCGAGTCACACGCTAAACGGGTGAGACGCTTCTGTTTGCACAGCACACACACACACACACACACACACACACACACACACACACACACACACACACACACACACACACACACACACACACACACACACAAATGTGTTTTAAAGTTTCTTTGACTTGTCACTAACCTCCTCACTCACAGGCTTCGCAGCTCCTTCTTATTTTTCCGCTCTCACATTAATAACGCCGATGCGGAGCTGAGCAGTGCGCAACCATGTCCTGAGCTGCTGAATGAAACAAACTCATCCCAGATAGTTCCCTTTAACGCGGTCTGTTTCCCGTTTCGCTATTGTAGCGGTTCAAACATGCGCACTGAATATTTGAGGAAGCGCAAAAAGCTTTTATGGACTTCAACACACGTTAGGTTTAAAGAGTGCATAAAGCGTAACTGGGCTCTGTATGAATGACTGGAACAATCTTTAACAATTAACGAAACACGTGTTTATTCTAATGTATTATATTTACAAAACGCTCATATTAAACACAAATACAATCTTGGGACTTACTGTGGTGATTTTTTATTACATGAATTCAATGTAAAAGGTTACACCCATTACAAAGAGCCCTATCTGAGTGGATTAACCGCTCAGGAGATATCTACGTGTCTGACTTTTCACGGAAAATTTATGATTTTCGATAAATAGTAAGTTTCCTTTTTTCAGCATCCTGTCCGCATCTGTCAACGGAATGAGGTCCCCCCCCCAAAAAAAGAAAAAAAATTACTCTCGCAAAGATAAAAAAAATAAATACATATCTCTATATAACAAAATGGAGCCCGAAAGGAAAGAAAAAGAAACGTTTCTGCTGTGTGGGATCATTTCGATATTTTAACTGTTTGTCTGTCTTTGTTTCAGTGTAATCTATCAGAATAGGAAAAACAACAGTGTGACCTGCAGTGTAAATTATGTTTTTCATTTTATGCAGGTTAAATGTCGCATCTGTTCTGCGGAGCTTTCTTACACAAACAAAAGCACCTCCTCAATGTTTAGGCATTACAGAGCCAAACATGAAAAGGAAGAGACAAACACAGGTAGGCTTATATAGACATTGAGCAGCTTTATCATAATTTTTTTTATTAATTAATATGTTTTATTATTTTGAAATCAAGCATCTAGGAAGACTGTTCTGGGCCAGGCAGTCCTGAATTTTATTATAAAGGCCTGCCAACCCCTTAGTATTGTGGAGAGTGAGGGGTTCAGGGGGCTGGTTCAGGTGATCCATCATACGTTTTGCCAACCAGAAAGGTTTGTATAGACAACGTCTCATCAGGTAGCTGATGTTAAGTACTGCATACTGATTTAATTTTGTTTCATCTTCAGACCATCAAGGAATTGATAGCCAAAAAACATGCGGAGAAACTCGAACGAGTGAAAATGGAAGTAAAGCAAGCTGTGGCAGTGAGTATAACAGCTGACATGTGGACCTCTTTGAACATGGAGGCTTACTTGGCTCTTACCTGTCACTACATTAATGAGAATATGCAGTTGTGTACATCTGTGTTGGGTGTGAAACACTTTCCACAAAGTCACACTGCAGACAATTTGGCCCAATTCAAAACAGGCATGATGGATGACTGGGCCATCACAAATAAGGTAAGGTGTCCACTGACCGACAGCACCAAACATGATTGCAGCAACAAGAACTCTCCAAAGTCGACATTCAGTTTGCATTGCACACAAAATAAATTTATTAGTCAAGAAATCATGTGATCAAATCCCTGAACTTTCATCCATAAGAGACAAATCTAGACAAATCGTATCATTCTTCAGATCCAGCACTACAGCCAAAGAAAAGCTTGCCAAAGTGCAGCAGCAGATGGGACGGCCCATCTTGAAACTTATCAACGAGGTACCAACACATTGGAACAGCACATATCAGATGCTGTCACGGCTACATGATGAGAAAGAACCAGTCTGGGTATCTGTTGCTTCTCTTCAACAGATTTAACTCCACTTACGGCTGATGAGTGTAACATCATAAGGGAAGCACTTCTTGTGCTGGCCCCTTTCCATCAGGCCACAGTGGAGTTGTCTGAGGAGAGTTTCAGGATCAAAGATCATCCCGATGATGAAAATGCTTTATTGTGCACTTGACCGGAACTCTTTACATCTACGCACACAAACAGCCACCCATCTCCATGACCAACTTAGGCGTCATGTCACAGACACTGCTTCTAACCTGGAGTCATTAAGTGTGTTGACCCTATCAACCCTTTTAGACCCCAGATTTAAAACACTCGGATTTCGTAGTTCCTCCAAGTGTAGTGAGGCAGTCAGTCGCCTGAAAATGGAGTGTGCTGCAGTCCCGCACAGCATCTGAGCCACAGCCTGGACCTTCATCAGAGCAGTCACCTGTTCCAGACAAGTTCAGTATTATCAGCTTATTCTTACATTTATTTTGATGCTAATGTGTACTAATTTGGGGTAGATGACAAAAACGAAAATGGCCATGCATTTTTTATTATTTCAGAAAACCTGCAGCTCGATGAAGAAGTTGGCAGACAAACCAACAATGCAACAGCGGACTCCATCACTGAGGTCCAGCTACTTGGCAGAGAGAAACATTCCAAGATCAGAGGATCCTTTAACGTACTGGGGGAATAGGAAGACGTCTTATCCGAACCTTTTCCACCTGGCTTTACAGTTTTTGTGTACCCCAGTTTCATCTGTGCCCCGTGAGCGTGTGTTTTCCAAAGCTGGGGAAATGGTGTCAAAAAAACGCAATAGACTGAATGGAAAAACATTGGATAAATGTATTTTTCTGAATAGAAATTTATAATAAACTCTGAGTCAATTACATTTAAATGGGTAATATTACATTCACAATACTTTCATTTTCATTTTCACTTAATGTCATTCACAATATATTTTAAAGATGCCTACAATATTTGAAATGTAAAAGATATAAAATGATTCCATGGAAAGTACAATACCTTACAGAGTATACAAGTATGAGTAGGTCATTGAATCAGTGTCTGTTGTGAGTCTCAAGTAAGTTGCCTGCAATGATATTTAAGGTCCAGCAGGTGTCAGTATGGAGCAAAACAACAACACTGTGTCGACATAGTATCGATACAGTTTGGGGAATGTGCTGAAACGCTTCACGAGGCCTCGTCTACCCATCACTAGTAGGATGTTCTCAGATGAGGAGTTTATCAAAGAGTATTTGGTGGACTCTGCCTGGCTAATTAGCCCTGAGATAAAAGAAGTATTTGAAAATATGCAAATAGTAACAAGACAGATCAAGGACACTGTGAAAAATGTGAGGCTTTAGCCAGACAATTTTAACTTTTCACTTCAGTTCGGGATGAGCGCTGTTAGGTCCGCAACACAGCCCAGTTTCTCATCTTTGTACGTGGGATAACAAAAGAGTGTGAGATTACAAAGGAGCTGGCAGAAATGCACTCTATGAAAGGGACTGTGACAGGGAGTTACTTGTTCACGGAGGTAACTGCATGAATTGATAAGCTGGGGGCTAAATTGGGACAAACTGGCAGGTGTTAAAAGCGATGGCTGTCCAAATCTGAAAGGAAAAAACATCTGACTTTTGAATCAGATACAGTATAAAGTGAGAGAAATGAACCTAGAACTGAAATTGGCATTTTTTGCACTATTAAATACACCAGAAGGTGTTGTGTAAGTCACTGCTAAAAATTAACTATGCTGTTGATGTTTCGGCTAAAATAGCTAACTTCATCAGGGTAAGAGCGCTGACTCACTTTGTTACACTTTCACTTGAAGTCAGTGTGACTGCTGGATTTTTATTCTTTTATTCTTCAAAGAGGATAGCCTTCCACACATAAAGAGATGTTTTTTTACAAACATTCTCAGTCCTGACATTTAACAAATAAAGATAAACAACCTCTTTCAGCAATGATCACTTGTCTGCTTTCCTTCACATTTTTAACTCTGCCACAGAACCTGATTTTCATGAACTTACTCAAGTTCAAAACAGCCTAGATTTCGTTTGCAGAATTGAAAAACTGAGGATAAAATCTCAATGGTGCGACTAAAAAAAATGCTTTCGTTCAAGTAAACACAAAAAAGTCTCCACAACTCTGAAAGTCTGTGTGGTCAACAACAGACACACATTATGCATTATGGAACCTCTCAGATGCCCAAAGAGAATTCCAATTATCTGCCAGAGACAATACTGACAACAAAAGTTTTCACAAATGCAACAAACCTTATGCACACATGACAAAATACTGAGTGAGCTAAAGTGACCTATGTCTAAATGACAGAATCCCATTGCATTAAAGCCAGCAACATTAATATCTCAAGGCACTTCAGCAAGAAATTGGAAAATGTTTTCTGCATCTGTATTTAGCCTGCAGGTAATGCAGGAATACACATAATTTTTACAGCATCGTGATTGTCTATTAAGCAGTTATAGAACAGCTTCTATGATGTAAAGTGTCAGACATTACTTTACTCTGCAGCATCAGCATTCAGAAGAGAGACAGAAAGTGCCCTGTGTGCTTCTTAAATCCATTTTTCAATAAAGTTTGTTTCAGTAGTACCATCTAATTTACTTTCAACAGTCACAACAGATAGCTGTCATTTGTCTTTTGGTATTCTAATGGCTTCTTTAAATCTAAGCAGCTGGAAATTTATTTGCATTAGAGCTGAGGTAGTACGACAAATGAAACATATCAAAACTGAAATACTTATTTCTGTTAGTACACAAAGCAAATAATTGTTCCAGCTCAGCTCCACCTTGATATCTTAATATGGACCTAACTTTCCGCCATGTCTTTTTTTTCTTTTTCTGATCTTTCCTTCAGAAAGGTCCAGAATGTAAAATCTGTAAATCAGGTAGATGCATTTGGTAAAAACCTCACATCCTGTGATTTCTGCTTGATGAGCATAATCCTAAGCAAGTCTTTGTATGGTCATGCTCAGGTAGAAGAGTGGTTTTCCATCTTATTCAAACTCTCCGTTTCTGTATCTGTGTTTGTGAGTTTCAGCAGAGCCTGTGTCTGCTCACTGGTATTTTCTGCATTCTGGTCTTCTACTCCAGGAAAACCCACCGAATCCTCGTCCTGCTCTGAGCTGCTGGGCTCCAAATCAGGATAAATGAGAAGGAAACAAGCTGCAAGAAAGCCAAGGAAAGAACCTCCAGAGGCCACAATGGGAATGACACGCACACTGCCAACTGCCTCTACCACAGATCCAAGTGCTGATGCAACCAAAATCTGGCTGATGTAAACCTGAAAGAGGAAATACTGTAACCAGACTATTTACAAAAACCTAAACATGCCGTTTCACTTTTGAACGTTTCTCATTTTGCTCAGTGTAACCTGAATTTATGCATCAGGGTCAGCTTAATTTGGTACAGTACTTACCTGGCAGGTTAAAATAGCGCAATCAATCCCAAAACCTCTTCGAGTGTTTTCTGGGCTGTGGTTAATGTACTGAGAAAAGAAGCATGACAGGAAAGACTGTAACTATACTGAAACGACCGATGTTTCTAATTGAATAAATGGGGAAGAGGCTCAAAACAAATAGTAATTAATTAAAGTGGTTTAATTGAATTATTGCATTAACTGTTTAGAAACTATAAAAACTGGAGCCATTTATAGACACATCAATCATTTTCAAAAGTAATTGGGGATATTAACATAATTTTAAATATAAGGATTGTTTTTAATTTTTGTGATTTGACACTATATAAATAAAACTGAATTGAACTGAATTACAGCACATTTGGTCAAACAACCTCAGACTTGACCATAATGGTTTTAGTATGCACCAGGGACATAAGTGTGATCATACCTCTTTTATTTCATGGTACTGGCCAAGTAATGCATAGGGACAGTAGGAGATACTCATGGAGATGATGCCCATGGTACTGATCATCACCATCGCAACATAAACATTAGGGATGATTGCCATGACTGCAGTACCTAAGATGAGAGGGAATCCAATCCGTAAGTAACTTTACAGAGGCTAACAACATTTATACTCATATTTCAACTATTCTAATAAGTCAGCTCACCTACTGAGAATCCCAGAGTCCCAAGAATGTAGATGACCCTAATGCTGAGATCAAAATGATCCAGATACTTCTGAAGGATGGCTGGGTGGAGAAAAACTGTCATTCACTGAGTAGTTAGCTGAATAGTTCTATAAAAAAATGAAGCTGTTTGAGTTTTACCAGAGCAGACAGCAGCAGTAGCAGCATAAACCACCAGTCCCCAGCAGCCCATCTGTACTCCTTTGTGATAATTTTGTAGCTCTGTGGAATTGGCTGGTGCCTTAAAGAAAAAAGAAAAAAAGTAGAAACACTGACGATTTGACTTCCACTGACATTTTAGTGCCTCATACTCATAAATTGTAAAATGTGCTAAGTCCACTGCACTACTGTGTGGTTTCCAAGGAATACAAAATACCAAATGATGTCAGGTAGTGCTTCAACAACAATACAGATGGGATTTGGAAGGTATCTGTATGTGTGTGCTTGTGTGTATACCTTGGGGTCTCCTTGGAAAATAACCTGCCCCATGAAATCTGTATAAAACACAGCTTCAGCTATAATGGAGAACCATGTGAGCAGGTGACACACACATAATCTCCAGAGCTGACTGGGCATCTAGAGTGAAAGTAATACAGGCAGTATTTATTACTGGAACATCAATCATCTCTGTTGACATAATCCAGTGCTGTAGTAGGAGAATGAAGAAGAAATTCACCTTCAACATGGACAACCACAGCAGCCGTACACTCCCACCCTTGTCTGTTCCTCCCTCACTGCTTGAGCCCTCAGATGACACACTGCTGGCTGAAAGCTGCAACCGTCGTCTGTCTGTATGCCGCTGGATGATGCTTAAATCATTCAAACTTTGGGACGTGGTGATTGGCCGAGGGGTGAAATGTCCTGTGTGTCGCATTCGATGCCGTTGTGCTCCAACTCGACCATAATATGAAAAGGTAAATGAGGGCTGAAGAGAAAAAACCCACCAAAATCAGTTTTTATACATCTGCAAAATAACCTATGTTGTCAATTAAAGATTAAACAATAAATTAAACCATACTTGTCTGTAGTAGGTGGGTCTGCCTGGCCGTGTACTGGATGTATGGTTTCCCGGCTTGGTGCCATGGGTTTTCATAACACTGGGGAACTCAGAACCATTGGCAGGTTTGGCCTGCTAGGACAGAAGAGAGAGGCAGTGTGGTACAAATTACTGAAGGAACACTGTTTGTCTCAAAGTTACCATAAGCTAAAAAACAAACAAAAACCATATTTGATCACAGCAGCCATTTTACCAGTTTCAACTGGGAATCCTCTGAGCCCCAGTTGGTCTGCTGGAAGGACGGATGACCATTTGCTGAATCTTTAAGTTCAGATAAAACTGAACTTATAGGCGTCACGTCGGCCATCCCATCAGGAGGGGGTTGTGGTCCGAAAGAAGGTGGGGCTTCAGCACTGGAATCTGATAGTTTGAAAACATCTTCAAGCTCTTCTTGCATTTCAGGTTGAAAGTGTGTCTCTGGCAAGAAATTTTGTGTGTCTGGGTCAAGGTCTGCATCTAACTCAATTGTAGCATCTGGCATGGCTAAGACTGAATCACTTTTACTCCTTACTGGCTCCACAGCAAGAAAGTCAATTTCCACTTCCTTAGGATCTGATTCAGGGTCGTCTCTGGATCGAGCTCGAGCAGAAGCATCCTCTTCTGTAATTACATCCAGTGTGCGGCCAGCTGGCTTCAAAGATACCTGGCCAGTAGAATCCCCATTTTCTGTGTCTTTAACCTGGTTTGATGGACTGAAGGGCTGCTCAGGGATACTGAACATGTGCAGTGTGACAGAGATAATAAAGACGATGGCTGCAAACATGAAGAGAACCTGCTCCTGTGATTGAAATGCTTGGCCCAGAGCTGTGCCAGTCCAGTCTAGACCTCCAAGCATGTATCCTATTGCTCCACCAAGCCCTAAAGAGACAGGTATAAGGGGATTAGTGTAGCATTATTATTTGTAAATATGTATGGAGGGTTGTGCAACTGTAATCCTAACATTATGCATGTATTCAGATTTGATAATATTCAGAACATTCGCTTTCTGCATCCATGTGAACATTCAAATTACACGGTCCATGTCTTTCCTCCACTGTGTCAAAGAGGTGAGCCTTCAACTTAAATTTCATTCTGGGAAAGAGGACGAAGTAGCTGTAGTATGCGTGGTGAACTGTGTGTTGGTGTCCAGATATCTAAGAATGTTGACAGTCTGATCCCCGCTGAATGAATTCCTGGTTCACAGTCTTGTGAATGTTGAGAACGAAACCTCCAAAAATCTACATAGACTTACCAGCAGAGAATGCATGAATGTTCAGCGCAATATCTTGCTCATCTGTGTCTGCAACATCCAGCAGATAAGCTCTGATTGGTCCCTCTGAGGCATCAGCGCAGAAGTCCAGCACCACCACGCCCAGCACAGTAAGAACGATGCCGATAGTATGCTTATTGGGAGTGTCGCCGACGGAAAGGCCTGAAGAGAATACCACAAAATATACACAGACCGGATTTGCTGAACTGCATTTTTTATGATTTGTTAGCAGATTATCTCCCTTGAAGCCTTGCACTCACCTATTAATGAACCATTTAAAAACAGTGCCACTCCCAGCAGTACACCTACACAAAGACCCAGAATGAACGGTCTTCTCCTGCCCCATCGCAGGCTACAGCGGTCACTGGCTGTGCCAATCAGAGGTGTGAAGAGGAGACCCAGGATAGGACTGAGAAACCAGGTTAAACTGTAATACTTTTCAGGAAGACCTGGAAAATAAACACAATTGATTCATTCAAGTATTTTCAATTACACTAAAGCTAATATAAGAATTAAAAAACAACCACAGCATAGTGAAGTGTGTGTATATATATGTATGTATATATATGTATATATATATATATATATATATATATATATAATATATATATATAATATATATATATATATATATATATATATATATAATACATATATATACATACACACGCATACATCATCAAATAACATAAAAAAACAAAATAAATGAGACGGAATAGACTGTGTGTTTCCAAGTGATCTAAAAGCCTGTGAAAATAGGTAGGTCTTCAAGTTGAGTTGAAGATTTCCAATGAGAAGGAGAACTATATAAAAGAGGGAAGACTTGCAGAGTCTTGGAGCAGCAACAGAGAAAGCCCTGTCACCTTTAGATTTTAAATGGGAGCATGGGACCCACATAAGTATTTGACTGGAGGACGCAGAGTTGGAGTGGTTAGGTGCAGGCTAAGGCGATCTGAAATGTAACCTGGAGCAAAGCCACAGAGAGCTTTAAAGACAAATTGCAAAACAGCAATCTGATCTGATCTGATCTAAGAGCAAGTGTTTTTGTTTTCTGACAGGCCACAAAACTTAATACTTAATGTATTACAACCAAATGTAAGTAAATGTCTCATATTTGTCATTTTATTTAGGCGGTGGTAGGAATAAAACATACTCTGCAGAATTTAATACCTTTATCTGTTATTTTTATTTTGATGCAAGGCAGTATTTGTCCATTGTCTATTCTTTTAAATATTGAGATCTATCAGGCTTTGGCATTAGATATTTGTATTTTGACTCTTTTGCATTAGATATTTGTATTTTGACTCTTTTGCATTAGATATTTGTATTTTGACTCTTTTGCATTAGATATTTGTATTTTGACTCGTTTGCAAACCAGTTTTTAGCTTTCACTAAAATAAAATAAAAATGCTGACAAAAAGCTGATGATTGTTTTGTAATAAGTTACTTATCTACCAGGCTCTGTTTTGAATAAGTTAAGTCAAAGTTAAGCCAAATTTAGATGCAGGAACAGGCACAGAACGTTTTCATTATGATTTCAATACACAAAGGGCAAGTTTTCCCATGTTTTAATAATATCACATGACTTGCATTCCACAGCTGAAGAACCACTAGTGCTTTTCCATTATCAGTGGTTTTTAACTTAGCAGAAGCATTTTTGGTAATATGGCGGCCAGTTACATCAACACAGTCAAAAATATGCTACAAACAGGAAAGTGGTGAAACCTGTAGTTGTGCATGTCGAAGACAAAACTATGTTACAGCATGTCTGCAAATCTCAAAACACTACTCTTCAGTTGTTTTTACCCATTTCCAAACCGGAGAGGCATTTCCATTTTTAGTGTACATCAACTCTAAAAGAAGTGGACTTTTAGGTTTAAAATCTGATGAATTATGTCAGCAGGCTGACTGAGCTGGATAATTCTCAAGGGAACATTATGCTCTGTTCCTGCCTTCCTTCTCCCTTAAGTCAACAAAAGCGAATATAACTTTCTCACAGCATGAAAAATATCTCTCTCTCCATCTGTCTTTTCCATTACTGCTTATTTCCTCTTCAACAGACTTATGCAGCAAAGCTCAGAGATGCTTTATACACTTTTCACTAATGAAGTAGTTATACATGAGTGTGTCTCTGTGTGTCCAATACAAGTACATGGGGAAGAAAACTCTAAATGTTTGTCTGAGCTAAAGAATACACATACGGTAAGTAAAAGCATGATAAACCCATGAGACAAGAAAAATCGTGTCTATACTTCACTTGAGTTTTAGGTTACAAACATACCTTGTGCACTGTGAACAAAGAAACATGAACAAAGTTGTGTATCTGCAACAAGTTAATAAAACACATTTACTGTGCTTAAAGGCAATGTCAAACAGTTTTCTAAACACATGTTCAGTCAAGAACCCTGGGATTTCAACAAGCTATGGATGCATTTATTTGGCAATAATCAAAGGTAAGTTCAAAATTACAACCTGTCCCAGCATAAAATGAACTGCACTGCACTTGCTGAATGTTTGTTTTAAAGGTGTTGGCTATGGCAAAGTAAGCAAGAGTATGAGTGGTAAGACAAAACAAATCCTGATGTTTCACCAGCTCAGCAGTGTCTTTCAGTCTTAACACAATCGTTTGCAAGTCCTGAAGCTTTAAAAAGCAAAGAAAAAGCATAAAGATTTCTCCTTTTCTAATGTAATTAGCTTAAAACGTATCCATTCCAAAAAATAAGTGAGGCTGATTCAGTTCAATAACTTTAAAATAAATCCTATGTCAATAATCCGTTGTCATCTATAACCAATATTACTTGGTAGATCATTTACATTCAACAGGTTTAGCAATAAACTTTATTGGCATATGAAAAAATAACTACCCAATCAGACACGTTAATTAGAATCAGTCAGTCTTATCATGTTGTTAATGGAGCAGAAAAGTGAAATGTGCTGTGTTAAACATTCTTCTCATACCTAACCAGTAAAAAATGCTTTTGTTCCAGGTCTGTTATGGTTGCTAACTTGACATCAAACCACAAAGCTCCCCGCTTGAGTAGAGACACGGGCTACATGATACAGAAGAGCAGCCCTGAAACCAATGAATTGTGACAACAATCAAATTCCACAAAGTCACCACTGTTACCTGACTACTACCACAACCACACACTGATGTGCATCTGGTTTGGATAACAGTGGTTAGCTTCACTGCAAATCAAATCCAGCTATTGTTATATAGATAGTGAACCAAACACAGCATAATCGCTGCTACACTGCAACCAATCTTCAAGTTTTTTGACAGTGATTAGGAGAATGCTGCCACAAATGTGTCACTAAGATAACTAACTAGTGGATAAGGAAAAAACTGTGTTGTGTCTCCTACCTATTTGCAGCAGAACTGGTGTTACCAGAGCGGTTTCCATGGCATAGCAAAACTCACGTCCAAACATCACTGTCCCGTGCATTACCCAGCGATGCAGAGGGATTCGTACTCCTCTGCCTTCCTCGTCCATGTCTGTCTCACTCTCACTGTCATATGCTTCTTCTTCTTTGGGTCTTCTGATCTCTGGAAGACGAGAAGCATCTCCACCCTCAGCTGCCATCTCCATTTCAGTCTGGTTTGACTTCAGGGGAACCATTTGTTGTGGCTGTTATAGATCAGTATATATGTCTTTGTGCCACAGTTTTTCCTATAAATGCAAGCACAATCTTACCATCTTATCACTGTCAAAAAGTGTAATAGGCATAGTTTTCACCTTGATTTTTTATAGCTCATGAGAAGATAAAGCTATTTCAGAAGACTAACAAGTCACTACTAAGGTCAAAGCAAAAGAAACACAGAGGCGAGAACAATCACAGTTTTAGCACATCTCCAAAAGTATTTAATGGTGATGGGTAGGGAAGAGTGTAAGAGAGGCGAGGTGGGGTGATAAGTGTTTTATGGTCTCCAGCAGATGTTTGTGGTGGTGACCTGCAGTGAACTCCTGAATAGAAGTGGCTGTGTGCATGAAGTTTGGGCAAGTCCAACTAAGAAAGTTAGTGCTAGTCAGGCAAGTCCGGGTTAAAATATCTTGAGATTTCTCAGTAAACTCCTACTAATAATGTTACAAATTAACCTGCAAAAACAAAACAAGAAAAACAGATACCAGCTGTGCAAAAAGCTAAAGCTATGACAACACAGGATGTAGCTTTGCCTTGATTTAAACAGGGAAACCTGTTAGTGCATTTTCCAGAAAATCTGTTCAGTCTCCAAATGCTGATACAGAAGTCTTATTATTATTACGGTAAGTAGATTTTTTAATGAACTGTTATTTCTGCAAGTAAATTCTAGTGTGAATGAAAAAACAAAACAAAATACACCACTGTCCTAGAAGGGTGCTGTAGCAACATCTTCCCCCAGAATTGCTTTATTCCCTCCTTATAAGATAAGATAACCTTTATTAGTCCCACACGTGGGAAATTTGTTTTGTCACAGCAGGAAGTGGACAAAACAAAAGTTATGTAGCAAAAATTAGAATACAATACATTATATTAATTGTATAACTCCCAGAGCCACTACTCAAAGAGATAATACCTCCCTTAATGATAAGATGATGTTGATGGAGAGAGTGGTCAATCAGATCAACCCATACCAATGCACAGGTATCCAGTTTGGTTCAGATCTGGTGACAGTGAAGGTCATAGACTCCTAGCACTCTCATATCTATCATCATCCTGGAAGAGATCAGTGCCCTTAGGATTTAATTTTCTTATCTTACAACTCTCTTTTCAAGGGGAATAAGTGGAACCAGACACTGCCAACAAAAGGCCTAAGAGTTCGAACAGAGACACCTGATTCCCTTAGTCTAGGGTTTGAGAGGTTCACCCCATAATGGGTTTGTATAAATTAAGCCGTAAGACATAACAAATAATTTACAATAAGTATAAGCATCATAGACTCAAATAAAGGGCCAAACGATCAAAAAAATTAGACTGAATTAACCCAAGATTGCTCTGTTAAATCCAGTGACATCGCCACTATCTAGAACCTTGAAGTCATAATAGCAAAATCAGACTCATAGACAAGAGCCACATTAAAAAATAAACCATTATTACACCACTATTGCTGTTGCGTAAGTGGAGCAGAAAGCAAGCAGATCCTATTGACACATACCTTACAAGAGAGCATGGCAAAGACCATTCTTCTATTCTTTACTTATTCATTTTCTGCCTGGCTCTTCTGAGTTGAGCAATATGAAAAAAAAGCTTAGAGCATGTATAAGTTGATGTTTAATGAGAGCTTTGTGCAGTTTTCTGTCATTTTCACAAAGAGACAGATCAAAGTGTTTTTGTGTTTAGTTAGTAATCCGAACAAATTAATGTAGAAAGGTAACTTTTTTTTAAACTTCATCGAGGTGTGTGAGCTGAATTCTCACAGGACTGTGTGTACACGTGAAGGTCCGAGGGGCTCGTTGGACCAGTTATGACATGTTTTGCCTCACCTGAACTACCTGCCAGTCTATAAATAATAAATTAATATATTAAAAATTATTTGCCGTTTTATGCGAATAAGGCGCACAGCGATAAAAGTGTATTCTCGTCTGGACTGAGAGGAAAAACACCAGAATTCAGGCGCATTACCGTTAACCTGACTTTGACTGACGCAAAAAGTTACCTTAGCAAGCTAGGCTTGGCTGATATTAAGCAGCTTACGTTAGCGAGTTAATAGCGGAGAAACCCACTTTCATGACAGACAGGAACGTGTAACGTACCTGAGATTTTACAGCGCTGTGGTAAAGCTCAGCCAGTTCCGCGTTGTGGAAAACTTCTATGACGTGTTAGCACAAAAAAAAAATAATAATAAGAAAAAAAACCCTCTCACTTCTTTAGGTTTGCAAAACCTTTGCAAGCTAACTGGGTGACCATAGGGTTTACTACACTCACCAATTTCAATGGTTTCCACATTAACACAGCGGGGCGTGGCCATCAGAAAACCTTCGTGACGTCAGCGAACGCCTCACCTATGGACGACGGTGAAAGGGCAACTAGCTAGCATGATATAAGTGGAACCAACTGCATGGAAAATTGCATGGATTGATAACATAAAGAAATGAAAATATGTCAACAATAATGGACCTCAAGAACTGGAAAAAAAAGACAATTCACAAAGTCATAATGGAGGATATTTATTTATTTATTCATAATTCATTAATTCATTTACTCTTTTGTTTATTAGCTAGCACGCTTTCGACTCTTCCTAGAACTTGGTCCTATAGCTCTATATATGTTCCTATATGTTGTTCCTAAATCATTGACTTTGACTAACTTGACCATTAATTCGGTTAATTTCCTCCCTGCTCCAATATACATTTATTGCGATCTAGAGCTTCAAAAACAGGCTCTGAAGATTGATTAATTAGAAGCCATCAGTTCTTCAGGCTATTTAAAAATCGCATAATATTATACTCTGTTGTAAAAAATAAATAAATACATAAACAAACAAACAACCCTGTGCTTACATTCACAGAATCATTCGTCCAAGCGGTTTCCAATGCGCTGAAGTTTCCTTCGGGCTCGTTCTCCATTGGTTTTTTCAAAGAATAGGCAATGCTGCTCCCTGGTGTACATCAGTAGTTATTATTCTCTAATATGTTTTGATTATATTACTTGTTTGGGGATTGAGGAGGAAAATGCCCTCACTATTAAAGAAAGACAAGAAGAGAAAACGTATTTAATATACTTTTTAAATTCACATCTCAGTTTCTGAGCTGGTTAAAGATTGCATGGGATTAGAAATTAGTATGTATCAGAGGAACAGCACAAGTTGAGCTGTTTGGGGACAAAGTTAGAGAGGCAAGGCTGAGATGATTTGGACACATGGCGGGCAGAAATGATGGATATACTGGACAAACAATGCTGAAAATGGAGCTGCCAGCAGGAGGAAAAGAGGAAGACATCAGAAGAGTTTCGTGGATGTAGTGAAGGAGGAAATGTAGACAGAAGAGGATGTTAGATATAGGGTGAGATGGAGGCAGATGATCCACTTTGTCAACCTATAAAGTGAACAGTCAAGAGAACAAGTGTTTAAAATGAGCTCCACCTTAAATATCAGGAGCAGCAATACTGATCCATATATCACTGATGGGGAATTTTTTTGGTGCAGGATGAGTACTTTTACTTTTGACACACCTAATGTACAGTTTTCCATTGATACAGTTTAATGGGCAGTCAGGTATTTTCTAAGTGTTTTATTGCTTCATTTGCTAAACTAATAGTTCTATAAATGGTAACGACACTGCTCAAAAGTTTGCCTGTACTGATGTGGACTGGGTAATGTGTTAGGAAAGAAAGGATCCCACATTGTTTGACAGAAATGAAAACGATCAACCAACAGAGAACTGAATTTAAAGACGCCCTGAAAACCAAATTGAAAAAATGATATAGCAGCCTAGTCCGTTTTTCAGAAATTTCATTGCAACAATTTCAAATGTTACTCAGTATGTTGTATGGCTTTATGTATGGCCTGTTTGCATGCATGCCTAACAAGGATGAGGAAACTTATGGTGCCTTGGAGGATCTCCTCCCAGATCTGGACGAAGGCATCACTGAGCTACTCGACAGGACAGGACAACTTGGATGGACATAATATCCCAGAGGCGTTCCATTGAATTTAAGTCAGGTGAGCGTAAGATTTCATTTTGATACCAAATATCAGTCAGGGTGGGTAACCTAGCCTGTAGAGGTCTGTGCATCCCTCCATAAGCCTTTTCATCCCTGACCCATCCCCAAACCAGTCATGCTGAACAATGTTAAAGCCAGTATAACGTTCTCCATGGCTTTTCGAGAACCTTTCATGCCTCAGGGTTAATCCTCAAGGTGACCCTGCACGAAAAGTTCAGGGCCGCAGTGGCAAATTTTGATATTATACAGTAAACATCAATTAGGCTCCAATGTCCTGACAGTAAGCACAGGGCCCACTGAGTAAAGCTACCCTCATTAAGTTTGTCTGTGAATGATTGGTCAGAGACATTCATACTGGACGCCTGCTAGTGGTCATTTTGTAGGGCTCTGGCAGTCTTCTTCCTGATATCTGCTTTTTGCACAAAGGAGCAGATACCAGTTCTGCTGATGGGTTAAATACTTTTTAAAACACTTTCCAGCTCTTCTAATGTAACTGTCTGTCTCCTAGAATCTACTCCATGCTCTTGAGTCTCTGCTGGAAGACACAGCAAACCTTCTGGCATCCTGGAGGATTGGACTACCCGTGCAACCTCTGTAGGGTCCAGGTATTGTCGTATGCTACCAGCAATGACACTGAGTCTAGTCACATGCAAAACTGATGAAAAAAAAAACAGCCAGAAAAGATAAGGAGGGAAAAATGTCAGAGGCCAAACACATTTTGTTTAGCAGTGTATTTAAATGAAAACTATAGAAAGAATAACATTTTACAATTTTTCAGCCAGGAAGAGTCCAGCAAGAGGCTGCGAGCACACTGTTTTAATCTGGTCCAGTTCGTCTTGTTAAAGAGTCTCACCTTTCTGTAAGAGTGACACCGCGCCACTGATGAATATGCATCTTATTTCTGCCAAATTGAATGGCAGAAATAAAAGGAAAACAGACAACACTGGAATATTTACCATTTTATTGAGACATTTTCTTGTGTAGTTTCTAATAATATCCAGAGGGCAGTTGGCTAAATTGACCAAGTGTCTATAGAGATTGACAAATGAAAAGTCAGTCCAGAGTGATGGCAATGTTTCTTGGTGTGAATATCATATACATGTGAATATCTGCATGTTATTGTGTTGGCGCTCATCATTGAAAAAAACAATGGCAGCACTGAGTGTCTGTGTTGAGTTCTGCTGGTCAGCAAGTTGCAGAACTCAGAACTTTAACTGTGCCATCCCTATAACTTATAGTTTTATGCACCCTTTGTAAAATATTTTACAGTGTGCGGTCCTTTCCTGTGTTGCTGCTCTGCAGTGATCTGAGAATCTTGGTCATCAATATAACATTATTAGTCATGGCGTTGTCCGTCCCTGCTGAGGCTTTAGAGCTGTGCTGCATACTGACAATGTCACCACTGGTCTGCTTGGGCTCTGCGCGGCGGAAAAGATGTCTCATAGTGGCCTGGAGACAGCAGGAGAAGTAAATTATTTGGAGAATCAATGAGTAAAAAAATGATGATGGGCATATCACACCTGAAGGGACAGGTGGATGTGGAGAAAAGAAGAAAAATGTCAAGTTAAGTTAAAGAACGTGGAGGAAGAGAATAGGAAAAGTGCTTCAGTCTTACCTGGAAATTATTTGTAACAAAACAGTAGACAACAGGATCCATACAGCTATTCAAACTGCTGAGGGTGACAGTTAGATGGTACACTATCACATGGTGAGGCATGTCAGGGTAGAAGTATACCACCACCTGCAGCACAAACAGGCAATGCCAAATGTTCCCATAAAAGCAAATACATTTTTCTCATTAAGTCAAACAAAAACGTTCATTTCATTAATATGTTTATTGTGTTTCACTGTTTACTGTTTTTATCTTTGTTGTATTTTATTAAAATTATAACTTTGAGATCCTTACTATTTTCCCTACTTTTGTATTCAGCTTTTTTAAAATAACATTCTATTGTATTTTAGTTTAGTATTTTATGTTAACTTTGCAGTCAATGACTGCCTGAAATCTAGAAGCCATTTATATCCAAATGCTCAGTTTTCTCCTCTGCCAGGACTTTACTGCAGTCATCTTCAGTAGCTGTCTGTTTGTGGATCTTTCTGAATTCAGTTTTGTCTTTGGTAACTGAAAAGCCTGCTCTACTGGGTTGACTGACTTGGGCATTGAACATTGTCCGATTTCTTTGTCTTGGGAAACGCTCTGGTTGCTTCTGCAGTAAGCTTTTTGTCACCATGAAGTGTTTGGTGCTGCTTCTGTTAGCAGTTGCATCATCAATAAATACTAATGACCCTGTTATACTGGCAGCCATACATGCCCATGCGATATCACTGGCTCCAACCATGTTTGACGTATAACGTGGTATGCTTTGGATCATGAGCTTTTTCTTTGCTTCTCCATACTTTTCTCTTCCCACAATTCAGGTACAAGTTAATCTTTGTGTCATCTGTCCAAATAATCTTTTCCTGCACTGTTCAGGCTCTTTTAGATGGTTTCTGACAAAGTCTAATCTGCCCTTCCTGTCCTTAAGTTTAACCAGTGGATTTGCACCTTGCTGTAAACCCTTTGTGTTTACATTGATTGCAGACTCTGACAATGATACATGAACCTCCTGGAGAGTGTTAGTGAGGAAACAGGCTTCATCTGACCATAAAATTATTTATCAGGAAGTTGTCCAATTATATTTGAGCTGCTGAAAATGGAGGACTGTGTACTGTGTGTATACTGTATGTGTGTGTATACATAAACTTTCTGTCTTTTTAATACATGTCAATATTGGTTTGAAATATTGTACATGTATTTTTGTCTATATATTTATGTTATATATATAGAGAGATTTTTCTTTTGTTGCTTTATCACCTGGTAATATTGTCTAATCAAAATTGTCCTGAACCTACCGGTGACCCACAATGCAGGGTCAAGGTTCACCCAAGCATGGACATAATTTATGAGCAGTTCAAGCAAAGGCTGGTTTTCTGCCTCACATTTGTTCATTTGTAATCCTTTTAGAGGATAAAGTTGAAAGCATCCACAGTTTCATAAGGGAGAATACAATCATTAATACTACTTGGCCTTTTACTTGTTCAAATACTTGTTGCTCACCTGTCTAACATGAAAGGGTGTGAAACAGACTGTGAAGATGATCAGCACAGTTGTCAACAGCTGGACAGCTTTCCTTCTCCTATCCCTGAGAAAATAAAGTTAAAGATACCATTATCTGCATATTTTTATGGGATATAAACTATCCTATGTGTCAGTGAGTCAAAGACAGACAGACGGCTCACATACACACATGGAACAAAGAGGCTCACATTCAAACCCAATTTCAGTTCAGAATCAACATTTAACAAACCCCCTGCACATCTTAGGACTGTACGGTGAAGCTGGAATAACTGGAGAGAATCCATGTAAACAGTTAATGCAGTGCATCCTAAAAGTATTCAGAGCGCTTCACTTGTTCCACATTTTGTCATGTTACAACCTTATTCCAAAATCAATTTATTTACATTTCACTCGAGATTCTGCACACAATGCCCCATAATGACAATGTGAAAAAGGTTTGCTTGAAATTCTTGCAAATTTAAAACAAAAAACAAAAACATAACATGTATATAAGTATTCAGAGCCAGTGTGTGATTTCCTCTGAATATTTTGTGGATGCACTTTATTTTCTTCAATACAAGAAAAACAACTTTAGTTTTCTTTCCCGCCATCTGTCAGTGTAATATTAGTTCTACCTACCTGCTCTGTTGCATCAGACGACGGTCTGTTAAGGCCCACATAATGCGCAAAGTGAAGACCACAATGATGACAAGTGGTAGAAAGAACTCAGTGATGGTGAGAAAGAGGAGCTTTGAGAGACAGCAGCCTGTGTGCTGAAAAGCGGTGGAAAGAAAGGAGTAGGTAACCACAATGGCAAACAGCCATACAGAAATGCAAACACATTTGGCCACACTGGAGTTCCTCCAGCGACGAGAGGCTTCAGCCTACAAAGACAGAGCAGAATGTGCAGCCTTGTAAGTGTCTAGCATTTTCAAAAGCACGACTGTGTAACCAAGCTACAGACGACACTCACCTGCACAATGGCAAGGTACCGGTCGACGCATATGCAGGTTAGAAACAGGATACTGCAGTACATGTTGACAAAGTAGCTGAAGATGTGCAGATATGAGCAGGTGATACAAGCTCCTCCACTGTAGTAGAGCAGGATGCGAGTCGGTAGAGAGAGATTCACCAAGAGGTCACTCACGGCCAGGTTGATGGTGTAGATGACTGAGGTGGTCTTTTGCTTGGTGCGGAAACAGAAAACATAAAGTGCAACTATGTTGAGCACCATGCCCACCTGAAAAACCAAAAGAGTTAAAAGATAGATGCGAGGAAAATTAGTAAGAGGTACTAAATTTCAACATAGAAATTATGTGCAACATTAAAAAGCCTTCGTCAAAACACCTTACCAGGAAAATAAGGGAGTTTATGACCACCAGTGCAATCCAAAGGCCATAGAAGTCATTGTAGAGCCCCTCATCTAAATGTGCCAGTCTTTGAAGATATCTTTCCATACCACTTGTGTTTGCTGGACCCGATATTTGAGGTGTATTAAAGGAAGTGTTGATGAAAAGCCAGGACTCTGTACCATTAATGTTCATCATCATGATGATGTGCGATGAGGTGATAAGCCGCCTTAATGATGCTGATGAGGATTGTGAGGATGACACGGATGATAAAGTGGAAACTGTCAGAGAGAATAATACAAGTTTTATAGAGAGATATATACACCACATTTACTGACAGATCCACGCATTAGTTGCATTAGTTTTCATGTTTAAACAGAAAACCTGCAGTTTTACAGTTACATCATCTCTAAAGGCCTGCCTTGCTGTACTATGTTACTTCCTCTTTTCTATGTTTGACTTCAGCATCTACAGAGAAACATAGGGACACACACTGTCCTCCTTTTCTCTGATGCTCACTCTCTCTGTCTCTGACCTCATACTGGCTGTTGCTGTTGTCACAGATACACTGGCATGGCTATTTTAAACCAATATCTGGCTTGTTGAACCCATATATTTATAATGTAACTATATTTATTTATCACTACAGCAATACTCCCTGAGGGGCTAGGATTAATTCTCATTCCAGCTATTATTACAAATAAAAAATAAATACTTTTGCTCTTATTGGCCAAGATATAACCCTCTCACAAAGTACAGAAACAACATGTCATTACTCTGGACATCCAGGGACCTTTTCATTTAATCATAATAAAAAAGAGATAGATCATTTGTTTTCTTTTCCATTTAAATAGCTCACAAAAGCTTAGATCTATAGTAAGAGAGTCATTTCATGGCTACATTAATTAGCCCCTGTTTGAGCTGGTGTGTGTATGTTTATTTACTTTAATTATTTTACTTTAAGTGACTTTTACTAAAAGTGATCTGAGGATTTTACACCTAAAGCCAACAGGACAGCAGTAGCGTGTTGAGATGAAGACTGTGAAGGAGAAGAAAAAGGTTACAGAATCAATCTCATGGAGAATCTACTGGCATTTAAAGCACTAAAAAAGGCCAAAGTCGCGTGATGTTTCGCATAAATGAGCTGGATTTCACTCCTGCATCCTTTGTCTTCCATGACAAATGCAGTTTAATTGCTCCTGTGAGTGCCACACTGGGAAGGTTTAAGAAGCCCAGTGTATGTGATGCCCGGAGTTTGTGTTTTGTGCTCCTTGCTTACAACAAATCTCTTAGCAAAATAATCATCCGGCTGATGAAAAATGTAGTCTATTCATGCTAATGGGAATAACATGCTCAACTGAGGGTGAGGCATGAATAATGTGATTCATCTACATGAACCGGAGCAGTCTAGCCACACAACATTAAGAGCACTGAAGGAAATAAATGAGTGTTTTCACAGTGACACCCTCTGATATTAGTCAGCTTATTTGACCTAGTTCATCATTATTAACAGTGCTTACAAGCGTTATAGTGGAGCACTCTGAGGAAAGTTTTTATTTAGGCACTTGCTTCTTTCTCTCTCTTTTATGATATATGCACAAATATGAATGTTATTCATCCTAAGCAACCCATGAACTATGTGTAAGTTTCAGCAGAATGGCAAAAAAGTTAGCCCTGTTGTCATTTCTTCTTTATTTCTAATAACTTGTGCATTTAAGAGTTACTTAAAAACTGTTCCCAAACATTCTTTGAGAATTTTTCTTTTCAGTTTGTTAAAGTTTTTCCACTTAGATTTCACTCTTAGAAATGTAGTCAGACATTTTCCTGTGACACCCGTAACTACAGCCAGTTGCATTTAGTTTGCCCTTACACACTGTTCATAAACCGTGTCTTCACAGGATCCAAATGAAATGCTTTAAACTTTATAAATAGCCTATGAGACAATATTAAATTAAATAATATTTCACAGAGCATGAGAAAGTGTATATTTTTGGGTTTTGTAAAAAAAACCTCTACTATCACACAACATCATGCCCTGTTTAATCTAAATAATAAAAACATTGCAGCTATAATTGTTTAAATATATTTTATTGAAAGTAAAAATGGCGAGATCATGCTGGAACTGTTGGGATTTATTATACATTATAACCATTAAACATCATATCTACTGCTTATTGTATAACTGCAAACTAGTCTGTGTATCCAAAACAGCAATAAGATATCACCTAGCACTGATCTACCCACTCCCTATTCCTCTTCTGAGTTCTATTTTAATCTAATTTAGCTGTCACCTAATTTAATCTCAGAAGTTCAGAATACAGGGATTCTACTGTCTTCATTTTTAGATTATTTAGTTACATTGTTGCTTCTCGCTCTTGCACATCTTGTGTCTGTATCAAGGCACCATCTGACCTCTGTTCTTTATGTGCATCATACATATGATCACTTCTATGTTTGTTTGTTTTTACTATTTCCAGACCAGCAAGTGCCTACCTCTGTGGGAACCTGGGCAGCTGTGGTGGGAACACAGTGTCAAGGTCACCCTCGAACTCTGTCACCACTATCCCATAGAAAATACACACATAGTTTCAAGATTCCCTAAATCCACAATTTTCTGTGATTTGACTCACACGAGTGGATCTAGAATGCATCTCAACAGACGCGGCTCAAAATTAACCTGAAACAGCCTCAATGTACAAAATCTAGTAGCACCTGCAATCGTATAAATTGACTGACCCTCTCAAGTCATCACTTTTCAGGCTAAACGAATGACATTTAGGATATTTTTACTGATGTCAAATGTCAAATAAAGCATGTAAGAGTTAATACATGTGATACAGCTATAACATGATTGGAATCCTTAGGCAACCCTAACAGCACGACGAGCTCATGTTTGTTCTTCTATTGCCATCATGGGCCATCAAGTAAAGATTTATGATAGGAAAATTAAAATGCTATTAATTTAAAATAAAATTTACAGTAGGGCTCGCACTCTCTATCTGCTATAAACTCTAAATACTGCCTAGTGTAACTGTACTGTAATACCGCAACATTTGGCAACCCAGATGTAATCTAATGCATCGCTGTTTCCATTTTATTGTTGCTCCTCTTCTTCCGAAATCAAAGACAGTCATGATGCAATAACTGTAAAATGATACTGGGAGGAAAAGAGAGGGCTCAGAGGAAGATCCAAAATAACACTGTGCAAATAAATCCTAGCAGCGTGGGAGTCTGGCTTTATGTGTGTGTGTTTGTGTGTGTGTGTGCTACTGATCATCTAAAAGACAGCATTCAAGAAAACAAATAAGGCAAAATTATGGAGTGTGACAGTGATATATTATGTTTTTTCCTAGTTTTACTTAAACCCTTCAAGACAACTCTGATTTTAGAGACATATGTACTCGCGATTGGACTAAAAGCTTGCCGTTGGTGTTTCAGCACACCCTGATTAAGAAACAGTTCACAAAAATCTAACTTGGTGAAACACTTCATTAAGTTTTCAATTTTTTAATAAAATAGAAATTTTATATGACATACCTGCTGAGAAAAAGGAGATCAGTCAAATGAGTAACTCTGAAGTCAACTATGATGAAACTGGGGTGTCTTTAAATCCTAATCCAAAATTCCTTCATCGTTGTCCAAGGATACTTCAGCTTTCAGTGACCTTTGCAACTTTGTATCTTCATCCCCGTTTCTGGAAGTCGTCTTTCTGCGTTAAGCAGTTCATCATCAGGTAGAATTCCATTTCTGTTTTGTGCGTAAATCTGTGAACGAGATGTACTTGCCCATTCTGAATATCTCCAAATTTTTCAAACACCCTCCTGTCTATTGGCCTCTCCATCTGTGTTTGTAAATCTCACCTGTGTCAGTGTTTTCTTATTTTTCTCTTTTCCTATTTCTCCTTCTTTTTCCATCATTTTTAGTCTCTCTCTTCATTCAGCGGCTCGGGCTTAATACCTTCCTCCCTCACTCTCTAAAGCTCTCTTCAGTTTCATCCCCGGACAGGAAGTCTTAAAATGTGTTTACATTCCCGGGAACATGCATGTGCCCATATACACTATACACACACACACCAGTGTAAAGCACAAGCATGCACACATAAAACATATTCTGTAACAAATGTTGTGCATTTTCTAGGGGTTTTTCTTTCTGATTTTGTGACTTTCTTTCATATAAACAGAGTGCGCAGTGATGGATTCTTATATCAAACATGGCCAAAGTTTCAAAAGCTTAGTCAGTGTTTGAAGTCATTCCTGTGAACCAAAAGCTCAGGCTTCAGACTTGGCTCTCCATGATGTCAAACAGAAGGAGTATCTTTAACATAGTCCTCTCAAGCACAAGAGTTACATACATCTGCTGTTCAAACCCTTTGTTTGAGCTGAGTGGCCAATCAGGAAAGGCAGATGTTTCAGAAAAATGAACTAAGGGCATGCAAAGAGACATAGTGTAAGATACATATAAATTTGGCTCATCTGCACTTTACTACAATGGAAATAAAAAAAATATTGGTGAACTTGTATGAAGGAAAATTAGAGGCTAAATATTGTTTGCTGTTTTTCTTCACTGGATTTTTTAAAAATGTGTGAAAATTTGTGTGGATATGGACACGCACATGTGTGTGTTAGACACATCTACTGTATTTTGTAGACATTTCTTAAATGTGTTGATAAATGTATAAAGACATGATTAGATTGCTTTAAATGTATTTACAAGCAACAATTACATTACAAACTTTGAAAAACTCATGTAATGTAATGTACTCAAATTGATGGATGCTTAATTATTGTCATCATGTCTCCTGTAATGTGCAGCATTTAGCATATCTTATATTTTTTTATCCATAACCTAAATACAGGAAGTAAATACACTGGTCTGACTAAAAATCACATTCAAATGTAAAACTCGGGCTGTCTCTTGATAACTAGTCCTGGTTCAAGCATCCATCAGTCTTGCAGAATGGGACAGGTTTAGGTCTCCTGGTTTCCTGGCAGGAGAATCATCATCACTCATAACTTGTCAGGCTAGCTAGAAAAGATCCGGAATAACGGATGCCAAGAGAAGCGCCATGGATCAACCTGTTAGAACGAGCAGGGTAAGAACAGAATGGAAAGAAGTGCAAGGAGCAAGGGCACGGGAACATTTTAGAGAAATACTCAGAGAAAAACATGGAGTAAATATATATGTCTGCACATGTGGGTAAACAGAAGACAGACCGTTACAGTATATAATGTCTTTGTGAATGAAGGCTGTTATAGAGATGGTGCATCAATCTGTGGGTAAGAGGATCTGGAAGGTGTGGTTTATATCATTCTGAACACCGATGATTCGTAACAGATGTTGACATTTTTTGCATTTCTTACATTGGTGCAGCCATCTGCAGCAAAAAAGTAAAGTCTCCTGCCTTCCTTGTTTAACGGGAATGAGGAGATTTTTTAAATTATTCTGTAAACAACTACATGTATCCCTCATGACAACAAGCACAAGAGGAAAACGTGAACTTACTTGTGGAGTCTCTACAGAAACAATAATATCCTTAAAGACAGGAACCAAACTAGCCTTGTACAATTTCCTACCAAGTCCTTAAAGAAAAAATTATACCTGTTTATTTTTGTTTTGAAGGGATTCCCTCACATATCCAAAGTCCCCTGTCTTATCTACAGTCTAATCACCCGTGATGATTGTTTAACCAAATGTCACACTTGAGAAACTTTATGATTTGTCCCAGACTTCATGTTTAACTCTCTGTCAACCTGACAAAATGCAGGTTCACAGCCCTGTCCTCACACCTATGGATGACTAATCTACTAGCACATGGAGAGAAAGTGAGAATGTGATCTGGTTTTGTGCCCTTGGATAAAATAAAAAACTAAAATAAACTCTCACTGTCTTACACTGAATATTTAGCCAGGTAGGCAGTGAGCCTGATCATCATGACTATCAAGTCCTTAAACCCTGGTTTGGTAAATGTCTGTGACTAAAGATTGAAGTGTATGAGTATTAATGACTGTGTCTGGATGTATTATTATATCTTTGCAGTTTCTGCTTTTACCTTGCTATCATCCAAACACACATTAAATAGTAACCATTAAAAATAAACTGGTAAAAGAAATAGGAGAGTAAGATTTGAGGTTATTTTGGAAAATACATGATGTATATGACTCTCACTGTAATTTGGGATGCAGGTGAAGTGAAGCATTAACCCATCATCCAAGGATGGAAGTAAATTTGCTTTTCTGAATGCATCACACGATCGTTCTAATCTTGATAAAGGAGCTGAAAGAAGAGCTAAGTGGTGAGTGTCACAGACATCATCATCATCATCTTGATTACAGATTTATACCACTGCCTGGAGGTATTAATATTTGATTACTTCAGAGCCTCAGACAACAGGGTCTTGAATTTAATGACAGGAGCCACTGGCGGTACATACAGGTGTAAAATTACTATGCACTGCTGTACATCGAACACTGTTAAGGGGTGAAAGGAGTGCTTAGGAGAAAGCTGGAAGGAAACTGCAGTAGTTGTCTTTTTCCTCAATGTTCTTTGAGGTATGATTCTCTGAATGGTGAAGTCTCGGTAGGGTGGTAGTTTGAGAAAAAAGTAATCCTTTAATAGAGTAACTTTTATCAGCAGTGTGATCTTATACAGTGGCAATTATGGGAAATGGCCTGTATTTGTATAGTCCCTAGTCCCTAAGGACCCCAAAAGCCATTCACACACTGGTGATGGCAAGCTACATTGTAGCCACAGCCTGGGCGAGGCGAGGCTGCTGGACACTGGCGCCACCGGGCCCTCTGACCACCACCAGTAGGCAACGGGTGAAGTGTCTTACCCAAGGACACAATGACCAAGACTGTCCAAGCCGGGGCTCGAACCGGCAACCTTCCGATTACAAGACGAACTCCCAACTCGTGAGCCATGTGAGCCATTAGATACAGTGGGGCAAAAAAGTATTTAGTGAGCCACCGATTGTGCAAGTTCCCCCACCTAAAATGATGACAGAGGTCAGTAATTTGCACCAGAGGTGCACTTCAACTGTGAGAGACAGAATGTGAAAAAAAAATCCATGAATTCACATGGTAGGATTTGTAAAGAATTTATTCGTAAATTAGGGTGGAAAATAAGTATTTGGTCACCTCAAACAAGGAAAATCTCAGGCTCTCACAGACCTGTAACGTCTTCTGTAAGAAGCTTTTCTGTCCCCCACTCGTTACCTGTATGAATGGCACCTGTTTGAACTCATCATCTGTATAAAAGACACCTGTCCACAGCCTCAAACAGTCAGACTCCAAACGCCACCATGACCATGACCAAGGAGCTTTCGAAGGACACCAGGAAAAGTATTGTAGACCTGCACCAGACTGGGAAGAGTGAATCTACAATAGGCAAGCAGCTTGGTGTGAAAAAATCAACTGTGGGAGCAATCATCAGAAAATGGAAGACATACAAGACCACTGATAATCTCCCTCGATCTGGGGCTCCACGCAAGATCTCATCCCGTGGGGTCAAAATGATCATGAGAACGGTGAGCAAAGATCCCAGAACCACACGGGGGGACCTGGTGAATGACCTGCAGAGAGCTGGGACCAAAGTAACAAAGGTCACCATCAGTAACACACTACAACGGCAGGGAATCAAATCCCGCAGTGCCAGACGTGTCCCGCTGCTGAAGCCAGTGCATGTCCAGGCCCGTCTGAAGTTTGCCAGAGAGCACATGGATGATACAGCAGAGGATTGGGAGAATGTCATGTGGTCAGATGAAACCAAAGTAGAACTTTTTGGTATAAACTCAACTCGTCGTGTTTGGAGGAAGAAGAATACTGAGTTGCATCCCAAGAACACCATACCTACTGTGAAGCATGGGGGTGGAAACATCATGCTATGGGGCTGTTTTTCTGCCAAGGGGACAGGACGACTGATCCGTGTTAAGGACAGAATGAATGGGGCCATGTATCGTGAGATTTTGAGCCAAAACCTCCTTCCATCAGTGAGAACTTTGAAGATGAAACGAGGCTGGGTCTTCCAACATGACAATGATCCAAAACACACCGCCCAGGCAACAAAGGAGTGGCTCCGTAAGAAGCATTTGAAAGTCCTGGAGTGGCCTAGCCAGTCTCCAGACCTCAACCCCATAGAAAATCTGTGGCGGGAGTTGAAAGTCCGTGTTGCTCGGCGACAGCCCCAAAACATCACTGCTCTCGAGAAGATCTGCATGGAGGAATGGGCCAAAATACCAGCTACTGTGTGTGCAAACCTGGTAAAGACCTATAGTAAACGTTTGACCTCTGTTATTGCCAACAAAGGTTATGTTACAAAGTATTGAGTTGTATTTTTGTTATTGACCAAATACTTATTTTCCACCCTGATTTACGAATAAATTCTTTACAAATCCTACCATGTGAATTCATGGATTTTTTTTTTCACATTCTGTCTCTCACAGTTGAAGTGTACCTCTGGTGCAAATTACTGACCTCTGTCATCATTTTAGGTGGGGGAACTTGCACAATCGGTGGCTGACTGAATACTTTTTTGCCCCACTGTATGCCTTCTAATTTGGTAAATGTTAAATTACTGTCTCCTAATCTAATTATTACAAACCTTCAAATTGTACACTAACAGGTGAAAGAGAAATTAGTCACCAACTCGGAGATTGTCTTTTCTCATAGACTTAAATATCTGCCTAGTCTACAGAAATCTAAGGAGATAAGGCAATACAGTTCCACAGTAAATTAGTACAGCTCTGAAACATCGTCTTCCAAAAGCTGCTTCAAGTTCAGATATTTGCAAAAATTTCCACCATTGTGGAAAGTTTAACAGCGAGAAGCTGAGTGAAAGTTATAATTGATCTTAAATGATCTACTTTAAGTTGGGCCTCTAAAATATACACTCACTTTGTTACATACAACCATTCAACTGAAGATGAATGCAAGTATGTATGAGTCAACACACAGCAGCACATTTAGGCTTGACATAGTTAAAACAACCTTAACAAAACTGAAAGCAGATGGGCTACAGCAGCAGCAGATCACAGGCAAGGCAAGGCAAGGCAAGTTTATTTGTATAGCACAATTCAACAACAAGGTGATTCAAAGTGCTTTACAGAGACATTAGAAACAAGAACAAATAAAAAGCATGATTTAAAATTGATTAAAACAAGCAAATAAACTAACTAACTAATTAACAAACAAACAAACAAACAAACAACAGTATATAAAATCAAAACAGATAAATCAGAACAGATAAAATCAGTAGTTTAATGTAAGTTTTGAAATTTAAGCTTAAAGTGTGGATTTGGTGCTTTATTCAAATGCAGCTGAGAACAGGTGAGTCTTCAACCTGGATTTAAATAAACTGAGTGTTTCAGCTGATCTGACACTAGGTATCACTCCAGTCACCTAAAAATAGGAAACTGAGGCTGTAATTCAAGTCTGGATTTCCGATTTCCATGTGGATGACAGTCAGAATTTGGGCTTTAACAATATGAAAGCATGGATCCCTCATATTTTGTATTAAAGGTTCAGGCTGCTGGTGGTGTAATGACATGGGATAAATTTTCTCTGCACACTTTGGACGCCTTAGTACAAGGCAAGCACCATTTAAATACCACAGCCTACCTAAGCATTGTTGACTATACAACCAAATTATGAGAACAGTGCACACAGATACCGAAGGCTGCTTTTAGCAGGTAACGCACCCTTGACACAAAGCTCCTGTCACCTCAGACTGTTTTTTAAAAATTACAATCAGTTCACTCATTTGGCCTCCAGTTAGCAACAGAGCACCTCTGGATTGTGGAGGAACAGGAGATTCACATCATTGATGTGCAGCTGACAAATCTTGTTGAGTATTTGCCACAAAGAATGAAAGCAGCTCTGAGTGCAAAAAGGAGTCCAAACCAATGCTATCAAGGCTTTTCGAGTGTAAACAGGATGTGCAAAAGAAATTTTTTACAAAGTTAAAATCTCAACTTCCCTTTCTAGCAATATATTTACATATGGCCGCACGGAGGAAAGAAAATACATGAAGGCTATGAGAACGCTGCACTTGTCTTCTTGTTTTCTGTATATTTCACTTTCAATACCAAATATTGTCTATTTACTTTTAATCTTTTTTTTTACTTTTAAACTAAAATGAGAAAGACCATGTTCATGCCAAAATGGGAAAAAAATCTAAATAACACACACTTCATAAGACTTAAATTAAAACTTTATTTTCAGACACAAAATGTAGTTTGAATTATCATTAGACGTTACTTGGCACTAGTCTGGTGTTTAATACAGCACATTCTGTAATTGTTTTTACCACATTAGTCGTTTTTGTTGTCATACAAAATTTTAAAAAAGTCAGTACAAAAAAAAGTGGTGCCGCAATTGATACATGGCAGCTTCTCAGTTAAAAAACACCCCAAACATACACACACAGACTTTATAACCAATAACCACAATTTGAAAGAGAAAGTTACATTAATAAAATCCTAGAAGTATACATTCTTCTTATGATCCTCCCCTCACAGTAAAACCAAACAGTTTAAGGCCCCTTCGGTCACAAAGTGAAAAATGATTGGATCATAGATCTCTTTCCTAACCAACAACAACCCTTTGAATCATGGTGTCATATTAGCATTTCATAGTGTTCAAGCACAGTGTCTCCACTGTGATTCACATGCTAAAGATAAGTAAACCCTTTATGGAAATAGAGTAAAGAAGACCCTGTGTCTGCTGTTCTCACTGTACCAATAACGACAAACTCACCATAAACATGAATCCCCAAACTAACCATCAGGTTTTTACAAGGCACTGAAATAAAAAAATCCCCTGAGTATGATGCTGTATGCTACATCACCTTTCTCCTTATGTTACAGTAGTGTTTCAAGATGGACATTTAACTATTTCTGCTTTTCCCCCCACTGTATTCTCAGCTTTTCCAGCAGGAAGACACAAAAGTCAGTGTGTCTAATGTAAACACACTACAACCACAACACAGTCGATGTGACCTGCTCATCCTGACATGTAGGAGTAGCGGACAATATGTGTTACCAGTGCTTTAGTTTAGTGGTATTTACACTTGAGTAAGAAAGATGTGTTGCAAGTTGTGTGAATATACATGTGTATTAGTCTCCCTCCTGTCTGTAGTGAATGACATAGTAGTCGTGGACGTACATGAGGACAGCAAACGGCTGACCGATAATGATGGAAATCCAAACTGCAGCGTTGCCGTAGTTACCACGCAGGAAACAGCCAACGAACCAGGCTAACGGAAGCTGGTGAGCGAATAAAACATCATTAAAAAAAGCCCACAAGGAGTAATCATGACATATCACTAATGACAGCCCTAATTAACCTAACTTTAATTTATTTAACTTCTTATTTCTTTTTGTTTGTAAATATTAAACCCAGAGAGACAGCCCATGATAGCCGATTATCATTGGTACATCAAACATCCCCCGCTACATTAATAAGGCTATTTATTAAGTTAATTATTTCGGGGTCAAACACTGACAACACCGCAAGATGTCCATCAACAGTTCAAAGAAATATCATAAAAACGTCTGTATTTTGACCCTCTGTATGACTTAGTTATATACAATGATGACATCTGGTCTCCATATAGCTTTGTTTTTCTTTTAGCATTTTTAAACACTGAGCAGGAATTCGCACCCATGTTACATTAAAAATTTCAGTACACGGCAGTTTGTGTCAACTGTAGCTGTATATTTATTGTCTTACCTGTGCCATCATGCCCATAAAAGCCCATAACCTGAACATCCTGAGGGGAACACTCACTAAGTACTGGCAGATAGGGAAACACACAGGGAAAGAAATCAGATCAGAATCATCAATATTCAGCTATAATTTCTAGAAATATGCTTGACAACTTGCACCACACTGATAAAGAGGTACAACACTGTGTACATTGTATTTTGTCCAGGTCAACGTGCGGCCATGTAAGAAAGAATGTTTTTCACAGCACTGTATGCAATCCTGTGAAAAACAAAACACACCCAATGATTCATAACTTGAAGCAGATAATTTCTGTATGACTTTATCAGTCATGGAGGCATTTTGAGCCACACTTATTTACAACATTGTTTCAGTTCATTGAGGTCTGGACTTTGACACCTTCATTCATTTCTTTTTCAGCCATTCTGTTGTAGATTTGCTGCTGTGCTTGGGACCATTGTCCTGTTGCATGACCCAGACACTGGTCACGGTCAGGTCACTGAATGCAAGCGCTCATGTCCTGTGGCTGCAAAACAAGCCCAAATCATCACCCCTCCACCACTGTGCTTTATATTTAGTATGAAGAGTTTGTGCTGATATGCTGTGTTCTTGTTCTGGTCACTTTGGTCTCATCTGTCTAAACAACATTGTTCCAAAAGTTTTGTGGTCTGAACCACAAAACTTCTGTAATGTCCTGAACATCAGTAAATGCTCCGGATGAGCGAAGAGGAAAAATTTCTGCTCTCATAGAGGTGCTAACACTTCTTTACTAGTTAACCAATCAGTGCATTTGATTAGCAGCACCTGGTTGCTACTTTTTTCCCTTTTTGAATGACAGTGAAAGCTCAGCAGAAAAAGCAGTTCTGGTCTCTATTCTTACCTCATGGAAAAAGGCTGACAAGAAGAAGACAGCTGATTGGCTGAACATTTTGCTGAATCCTCTCCTCAGAAGCGGCTTGTAAAAGTGGCTGCAAGACACAGAAGAACAGATATAAAAATGTGTGAATACCTACATTCAAATCAGAGAGATTATTCTGAGAACAAATTATATTTTTCAGTAAACTAGAATTTGTTTACCGTGTGTACTACAGTAGACCTGCTGTAATTCTGTCTCTCTAAGAGAAAATACACTTTAGAAAGCACCGCGTTCACTTCATCTTGTTTAATAGAAATGTATTTGCTCCTGTTGCTGTATTTACCACCGCTGCTTATTCAATTATAGCCAGATGAATCCACTTCCTAAATACATCGGTGTGCCTTGTTAAGCGCATCCCGCTGCATCAAATTCACCGCCGTCTCCTGTGCCGAGTCCTATAATTTAATTCCTCCCTTCTAATGTCCTACTGTGTGAATAATTCACTTTACCGTAGACACCACTTGTGCACTGGGATGTTCCAGTTCTGCCAGAAATATGTCACCGACTCCGAATTCCTATAAAAAAAATAAAATAATAATAAAAAGCCATCAAACAGTGTGCTGGATTACAGCCTCTAAATAATGAATTTAAAGCAGCTTGATTAATATTGATAGACATAAGGAAATCTGTTTTCATGAGAAAGGAGGAAATAAAAGCAATTATTCCACAGTCCACTGACTGACACCTATTTACAAATATTAGAAATACACAAACTGATTCATAAGTTTACTGCTTTGATTATACAAATGGCATTGATATAAACCAAATACATTCATGAGAATGCACATAAATCCGCTCTCTTATGCACACATGCAGTTATTAGCGCATGGAGCTACTCTGAAAAAGTGTTTGAGCACAGTCCACCACACCTCATAAAAATCACAAACAACACAGACAAAAACTTACCACCAGTCTTTGTAAAACTGTCTGTCACCAAAGCGCAGCAGCTCAGCTGTGAAGTTCAAAGATGAGTGGAAGAACCAATAGAAAAACATCAGCCAAAGCAAGTGATTAGGAACCTGGAAAGACAAGTTCAAGTCTCGTGAACAAGAACAACACATGACCCTCACCCAACATGCTGCTGCATGCTCAGTATACGCAGTAACTGTTTACAGCTTAAATATAAATTGGCATATGCGCGCACACTACATGCATGTATTTGCTTTAATGATGACTGAGAAGTTGCACTACAGTTGTAGCATGATCTCTGGTCATAAATAAACTGTAGCTTTATACTGCAAGTCCAAAACACTGACAAGTACAAGAACTGGAAATTAACAGTTCTGATCTCTTGCTTCACATTTTTATCAAAACTGGAGCTCTGTTTTGATGTCACGGTGCTTAATGTTATAGTGTTTACGCACAGCCAGTCGCAGGAGTCTCTCAGTCATCCTGGACAGATCCATGTCCTACAGGAGAGAAAACACGAGGCGTGAATTGACAAACACACAGTAAAGGTCGTTACACACCAAGCACATTCCTAAAAAGTGAGAAGAAATTCATGCATTTTTAAATCCGACCTTGTTGCATAACTTCAATTTCATGCAATTATCACGAGAATGCAGCAGCAAGGAGGATTTCCTCCACTGAGCCGACTGATCTGGAACGTTGTCTGAGGTAAAAATAATAATATATTATAGTTTACTATTTACATGTTTTGTAAATTCAACACTTGTGGGAGCTTTGAGCCTAGAGCGCACTTGTTGCCAAATGCTGTGGTCTGATTGGTCAGATCTGAGTGGAAAATTGAGCTTGGTTGCAAATAAGGTTGAAAATTTGCAAAATTATGCAGCTGGTGTGAACGTTACAGAATTTATTTTTAAGGCACAAAATACTTGAACAGATTTTACACATCTGGTTTAAAACCACTTCACCCTTGTAGCGTCTGTCTCATTTTGCCTGACTTACCTCTAGTGGTTTCATTGAGCTCTGAATGATGGGAATCATCCACTGACAGAAAGAGAAAAAATACTCAAGCTACTTTAAGACATGAGCTGCAATGTACACATTTTAAACGGTGATGTTTAGGTTTATCCGACTGTACCTGCTGAGTGAGTCCAACTAACAGCTGGGTGAAAAAAAGCTGAGGAGAAAGGCACAAATTGATAGAGTGACATTATTTCAGTGATATAAATGGCCTTTTTTCAGTTCCACTCTTAAAGGATGCACCTGTTTGTGTGACATGTTGGGATTGTGCCCTGTGTTGTTGATCAAACTTGTACATACACTGCATCGTATCCATAACCCAATATTTCTGCAGAAATATGCCACCTTTATACTGTGATCTAGCACTTAAGCACTTTTAGGTGATACTTCTAATCGTCTGAGTGTGTGTCTGTGCTTACTTTGAACACACAGCTACACTAAAGGTGTTTAATGGGTGATGCTGACATGAGATATTTCCTCACCATCTCAAAGAGTCTCCTTAGCAGGAAGCTCATGCGAATGTTTGGAGAGCGGGGGAAGTTGAGCTCATAGCACAGAGTTGGCGCAAAGATGAAGTAGTACATGTCTACAGAGGTGGAGAGAAAGTCAGTGTGTTAACCAGAACATGTGACACAGTAAAACAGAAACAGTGGTGCATCACAGAAACACGATCAACTCACATCCCAGCAAACAGTAATGATAATAAAAGCTCTGAGTACCTCGGAGGGTGAGGTTGCCAGGATAGCACACTTTGCGTTCACCTTCATAGAAACGCTGTTCTGACGGGCCTGTACCAGACATAAATAAAATTTACACCATTCATGTAAGTTTCATCAGAAAGCTGTGATGTCAACTATCTGCCAGTAGATGTCACCATAACAGCACGAGCGATATACTGAAACCTCTTTCTGGGTAGAAACTAAATCACATTAAAAGCCATTTCGAGTATAAAAACAAAATGATAATGTATATTGCTTACTTTCTTATGATGTCAGTGAGTGTAAAATATAAATCTAAATAAGCATGCGTATGTGTGACTTACAAGACAGTGACCTGGACAGTTTCTTTGCCTTCATAGTGCTCAGCTCTCTGCACCACAAGTTGACATCCTTATAGGAGTACAGTTTAAGTAAGATAATGGTGTAAGTACCAAGTACGAATAAACCACCAACTGTCATGGGGAGAGGGAGAAAAAGAGGTAAGGATTAGCACTGTGGATAAACTAATGCAGAAACATGTAATTAGCTCATATGTGATCTAAGAAGAAGATGAGGAGGAAGATATGAGGGGATGCTAACAGTAAGGAAAAATTAGCGAAGAAGAATGGATGAGGACATAAAAACTAAAAGAACAATGCGAGGAAAAAAAAATTATGGGATGTACGTTAGAAGCAGAGCCAGGGACAGGATGGAAAACAGAGCAGAGAGGTAGGAGAGTGAAAAAGGAAAGGAGACAGACAATGAGAGGCTGTCATTTGATCTGGAACAAACAGCTGAATAAATCATCTCAACACAAAGTATAAAAGCAGTCTAACTATGCCAAGGACATTATTACATAGTCACCATGTTGTTGTTGTTTTTTTGAGAGAATGTGCACTCAGAAACCCGTGCCAAAGTTTGTGCTAATTGGCCAATGAGGAAAAGCTGATTTGAAAGGAGATCAATAAACATATTTAGTAAATTGCAAGCGCACGCTTACACCAGCTTGCCTACCAGGGCTTTATCAATAGTCACCATATGCTTGATAGAAAGGGATCAAGCCGGACAGAGAACAAACACGCACACGTATATGTGCACAAACACTCAGAAACGCACAAACAAAAACTGCCTGTTGTGCCAGCAGGGTGAGGAGGAGGTCAGCACACCTGGCAGCAAACCATACCAGATCTTATCCATTAACCATCTGTCTCTCTGGCTCAGTGTGGCTCCTAAACTGCTAGATTTTCTTCAAGACAGTGACTCAAGAGATAGGAATCGTAAAAAAAATAAAAATAAAAATAAGCACACAGAGGCGAGCCTGAGTGGGGAAAAACATGCCAAAACCAGCCCCCTCTCAGATGTGGTGTCGCCTAACGCTGTACTACACTATGCAAAGAAAGCTTTGACAGCTTTATGCATGCAGTTTCTGAGTCGTCGTTTGATAAGCTGAGTAAGAGCGTGCTTTAGAATATTAGAGGGTGGTTTACACCTGCTTATAAAAATACACAATGTATGTGGCACTGCACTTTACACCATCTATGTGGACGTCTGAATATCTGTGTGATTTTTATTTTTCAGTTTTTCAAATTCGCACAGTTATCAGAAACACTGCTGTAAGGACACTCAAACCCAGGTGCACACACTTAAAGCCATGATGCATTAAAGGACCAATCCAAAGCTTTGGAAATAATGAAATGATGTCAGCAGATAACAGTAAAGTTTAGTAGTATGTTACCAAATTTGATTGAATATCTATAAATGTGTTCTTTTTCTCCGTCTGTCACACAGACACACAAAATTAGCTGTGTTTTGTAACAGGACGTTGCATTTACATGATAATTGACAATGTGACTATGAAAACATCCCTAATATATGCCCCCAAAACCTAATATCAGTACACACACATATTCGTACATACACACACCTGCCCTCTGTCAATTGTCCTTCCTGTGCGAACAGCAGTGCAGAGAAAACAGACAGACAGATGGACCGACTCCTTTACTTCTACACCTCCCAGTGAGAGAACAGATGAGATGAGGGAGGAGAAGAGGAGAGAAAAAAATAACCCAAAAGGGGAAACAATGACTTTCTGGGATAAAATAAACCAGCCTTACATAGGAAACTCCCAACATGGATGTCCTTTGATTGATTTAAAGTCAGAGGTGTGCTTACTAAAGCTTGAAGAGTAAAGGACTGGTGCTGTGCCAAAACAACTGAACTAAATACATTTATCAAGTCCATGACATAAAACACTCCTACCGTGGAACATTTGTGGATTAAGTGACAAATGTGACCTTGTCGGTGAAATATTTGTCAAGTTCGTTACGTGTTCCAGCTAAAACTCTACACCCCGGTACAGGCTAAGATTTTACCGTAGTATAAACCAGTCAGTCGGCGGAAACAGTGAAATTTGGATAACCACCACCACCATCAAGAAATTTGCGATGACACAGCAAATTATTGTCATCAAGCAATAACATTTCAGTAGATGCAATAATCTATTGTTTTTATACAGAGTAATGCACATTAATGTGATTGTTTCATGGTAAAAGAAAAAAAAAAAAAAAGGTGCTTAAAGAGTATTTCTCATTAAATTTATGAGGACTTCTGTCTACTTGTCTTTCCTGTAAAAATACGGCGTGCTGTATTCCCAGTTCATCATGGGTCAATCATGTTGCGTGTATGATGAAGACAGAAGGTAGTGAACCTTGAATAACCCTGCACAGCAAGCCACACCCCTTTCCATTCCTTTCCTATCCTTTCTTCTCCTTTCCTCCCCTCTCCTCTCCTCAGAGCCAGCTGGAAACAATCCAGTCATGACCAACTGGTCCATTACCACTAACCGACTCCAATTATGACTCTGTATCAGAGATGCCTTTTACTGCACTGCCGAACTGGCTGCGTGTTTCTGTGAAGGGCAAGGAAGTGGATGTTCTCTTAATCTTTATTACCCTTAAATTATTTTCTACATTGTAAACTACGAGTGAACGGATAATGTTTTGGCTGCATAAGAGATGAGACCATTTTAGTAAATTATTTGTCGCAGTAATGTACAGTTGTTAGGAACAAGATTGCAGGGAGGACAGTTGAATAATAGGGAAACACATTTTACCTGAGGTCATGGAGGGAACCAATAGGACCACTGCTGCAGGGAACGTTAGCAGAACGGCCATGTTAATGAAATGGACCAGAAATCCCACAAGTTCACTGAATGAACCCTGTGTCCAAAAAACAAACAAACATAGGAACAGCAGGAGTTTTTTATCTTAACAATGTATCCATTTCTACAAAACTGCCTCCGTTTTGGTCGCATGCTTTTAGCCTTGGGTATTTACTGGTGACCTAATTCTAAAACACTGCCAATTATTACAGAAACTAAATGTTTTAACCATTTTTTACTTCTCACCCCACCACAGATCACATTTTAAGTTATTCTGGCCTAGTTAAGTTAAAAACAACAAAAAACTGTTCCAATTCGTGCCAAACAGGCAGAGCATAACTGAATGTGGCCCAAATGTAGATGGTGAAACTAATTTCTCATTTTACCATTTCACATTTGCAGATGCAACTGGGGAGGGTCAGCTCCACAGTCAGCTTTAGAGAACAGTTTTAGGAAAATAATCCCACCCGAGACTTGGGAAAGTGCTCTGAATTCAGCAGTCCGGTTAAAATTCACACTGCTCTCACGTTTTAGTGCAAGCAGGGTTTCTCTCCTCACCTTCGACAGCTGCCTTTCGGTATAGAGAGCCACCAGAATGAACACATTGGACACTGTCGGACAAAATGAACCATGTCAGTGCTGATGCTCAGTGATCATTTTTTCAGCCTGTATTTACACTAGGGAGCTCATGAACTGAAGACATTTTGGCTCCGAAAACACTGGTATTCAGCAGAACTCCATCATTTTAGTCAGTGACTTCTACGTTTTAAAAGCAGTGCTGAGAGAATATACCAATTTCATGTTTTGACTGAAAATTTCCTGAAACCTGAGCAACATGGTGTCTCTCACACACAGACACACACAGACTTTCACATGATTAAATAGCAACACCTGATGAAAGAAATGAACCGGCAATAACAGAGCATATGTGTTTCACAGCATATACCAACTGCTAGACAGCTGAGTGACTAGACCAGTCGATGTGTGTGGAAAAGCTCTCTCACACACACACACACACACACACACACACACACACACACACACACACACACACACACACACACACACACACACAAAGAATCACATCATTTTTTATTCTTTATCTTTTGTTTCCTGCACAGTATATCCATCTCCATATTCAGTGTCTGCTGCTCTTTTGACAACTTGTATGATGTGGAGGTTATCAAATAAATGAGTGTACTTTAAACTGTTTACTTGAATATGTAAGATCAAAAGGCCATGGAGCAAATGACTGTGACAGAAAAATCCCAAGTGAATCAATCAAGTAACATAATCAAGAAGATTCTTTAGTGAAGCTTTAGAAAATAAAATAAAATAAAAAAGAAGATATTCTACAGTATGATTTCATATCAAGACTTCAGAAAGACAGGTCTAATTTTGGGATGTATGGTACTGTGCAAAAGTCTTGAGCAACACCTCATTTCTTTTTTACTTTGCTTCCAAGGAACTAGACTTCTTGTAATTTTTAAAGTGGTGTTGAGCAATAGTTCTCAAGGCTTTCTGAGAGTCTTTGAAGTCTTCCTTTGGATACTGTCTGCTTTTTCACTCCTTTTCAGTCCATCAGAGGAAGGTTATTCTTTTTTTGTTTATACCGTAAAAAAGCACCTAACTCAAGGGCTAAACCAGTGTTGTTTCAACATAGAAAAATTAGAAAAATTATATCTTTAGGCCTTTTATTACTTGCAGCCTCTCACAAAATCACACCATTTGTTCCAATTTTATTAGGTGAAACTATGCAAAATTACAAGGATAACATGGTTTAACAGGCATAACATAATATTTTTGCAGCAACGAGGTGATTCCAAAGAGCTACCAACCAAAATCTTGGATGATATACAGTGTTTCATATCACTTACATCAGATGAAAATCTACTTCTGTCTCTGCATCTACCTGTATCAATATCTGTTTCAGTATCTAAAAGTTATGTTAAGAAATGGGGGAAAAAAAAACATCCAGCAAGACTTGACAGAGGACCTGCGAGGTACATCTGGACCTTCAGATAATCCATCTGTTTGTTGAAGCCTCAGAAATGGTTTCAGTGGGAGGGTGACCATCAAGAAGACATTTTTAAGGAGGGAAATGGGGAGAAATGGCTGAGGTATGACAAATTACACAAGAACTGGACTGAAAATTGGTGACAATGGGGTTTACGGAGCGATGAGTCCAAATGTAAATTTTCTGGTTCAAATTGTTGTCAGTATGTACAGATCAGGACCAAGGTACATCACTGACTGTCTATAGCAGGGGTAGGCAACTCCAGGCCTCAAGTGCCAGTGTCCTGCAGGTTTTAGATCACACCCTGGGTTAACACATCTGAATCAAATGATTAGTTCATTACCAGGCCTCTGGAGAACTTCAAGAAATGCTGAGGAGTCATTTAGCCCTTTAAATCAGCTGTGATGGATCATGGACACATCTAAAACGTCCAGGACACCCGAACTCGAGGCCTGGAGTTGCCTACCCCTGGTCTATAGTCATAATACAGAGGAGGCTCTGTCATGGTTTGGGGCTGCATTTCAGCCAGTGGTGGAGACAATGATCCAAACACAAAATGAAACAATATCAATCATGGACTGGCCTCCTCAGAGCTCAGACCTCAACATTACTGAAGCAGTGTGGGATCATCTTGACAGAAAACTGAATAAAGGGCAGCCAACATCCACAGACGAGCTCTGAATGGACTTCAACAATCTGGAGAACTATTCCTGAAGACTACTTAAAGAAATGACAAGAAATCTTGTCTAAGAGAGTTCAGGCAATGATGAAGATCACGTTGGTCATGCTAAAATATTGACTTTCAAGCTTGTTAGAATTGTATAAACTCTGTTTTTGGGGGGGTTCATCATGTGATCATCAACAGTGTCACCCTTGATAACTGCCATTACGAATCAATGTCTTTAGTCATTCAGTCACATGGTTGTTTTCGAGTTCGTGGTATACACGGCACATCAAAGACAGGAAGGAGGAAATGCGCTGCAGGCACAGCAGAGTCTATACAGTAAGATTACTGTGCACAAACGAAAGCAATTAATCAGCCTGTAGGCATCACTTCATCAGACCTCACAATACACTCCCATTATACTCATCTTTAAATGCACCTATAGGAAGGAAAAGAAAAGTATGGAGTCAGGAAACCTGTCTTCTAACTAGGCTGCGTTTAACATAGGACAACTCACGCTTTCAGCAAATATGCAAAGGAGAGTGTCGCAAAGGATAACACAGCAAATTTTACAAAGTACTGTGAGTGTATCAAGATCATTGGTGCTAAATTATAAAAAAGTTAAACAATTTAATACATTTAATAAGGATCTTTATTGCTAGGACAGTTTTCTTTGACAATTTTATTATTGCCATCGTTGTCGTTGTATAATAATAAGAACAATTCACAGAATAAGAGACTTTTAAATGCAAAGAAGAGAAACCAGACAAAAGAACATCTGAGAAGAGCCCAAATCTTATTCCCTACTGCTTTTTCTTTTGCAAAGCATCTGTTGAGCCTCTTTGCCAAATACCAACTACTGTATTGTGCCAAACTGCATGAAACTGGAACAAACAACTCAATTTAGCACCTGTTAGACACACAAACCTTTTATCTGGTGCCTTCAGGTATATATTGTAGAAGCAATGCACTTACTACAGCAAAGTAAAATAACATTTATCACTCACAATAGAGTTTTCTTAATGTCTAACTTTCTTTCCAAAGTTTGCCCATTTTGCTGGTAGGCTTCATGAAGTGTAGACTGTGTTTGTGTGTGTGGGAGTGTGCGTAAGTTACTGCAGTGACTCTCTGAATGCCCTCGGGGGATAGGCTGCTTTACAGTCCATGCCACTGTAAACAGACTCCCATCCTCACCTGCCTCTTACCTATTGTCTGTGCAGTCATTTGCCTTAACTCCATCCATTTCTCTCCTCCTCCCTCCTTTCCCTTCTCCGGTCCCGAGTTGATGCAGCACTTTACTCCACCACTCTCCTGCTCTTTCTACCCCGTCTCTCTCTGCCTGTTCTTGTCCTGTTTTCCAACCATCTATACAAATTTACTTACTTAACTTGGCTTCCATTAAATCCTTCCTCCTTACTTCTCTTCTTCATCCCTCTCTCTTACTCCCTCCTCCTCTCTGCAGGAGAACACCAGTGTGCAGTATATAGGGCAGGTGAGTGTCCTCTAGAGACACTGAAAGCTGCACTACTGCAGACCTTCACTGCAATATATACTATAAAAGTAAGTACTCGGAAAACAAAAAAACTGCATGTGTTCGTCTTATAGCAGGGTAGGCCTTAAAGGAAGTGGCTCTATAATCAGTTTTAAATGTTTTTTCCACCTAGTTTTCTGAAACGTTCTTGCTAGGTCGTTCGCAAATCGCAACGAATTACTGAAACATAAAAGAAAATACAGTACATAAGGCAAAAACAGAGTCTGTATAATTCTAACAAGCTTGAAAGTCAATATTTTGTTTATTCTTTATCATTTTTATTCCTCTCTTAAACAAGAGTCCTTTCAATTTCTTTAAGCAGTCATTCAGGAATAGTTCTCCAGGCTTCTTGAGGACATTCAAAGCTCTTGAACGTTAGCTGCCTTTGTTTTAAAATTGTTCCGTTGTGTGTTTGACTGCTCTGGCAGTGGGTTTGGAATCATTCTCATGGTGAAAACAATGAAGCTGTTGCCAATCAGACACTTTCACGATGGTACTGCATGGTGGATGATATCTGGTGGTACGGTACTCTTCTGTATACAGAAATCCATCAAGATCCCAACACCACTGACTGAATTCAGCCCCAAACAATCACAGAGCCTCTACTGTGTTTTACAGATGGCTGCAGACACTCGCTGTTGTACCTCTCTCCTTACCTTCTCCACACATAGTGATAATAATTTAAGCCAATCCATTAGTTCGTTGCCACTGATTTTCTATCCAGTTCTTGTGCAATGTGGCGTGCCACAGCCTTGTCTCCAGTTTCTCCTCCTTATGACTGACTTCTTGGCAGACACCCTTCCCGTGAGACCTTTCTAATAAGCAGTAGATCAATAACTTAAGGTCCAGATGGATCTATCAGTTTCTGTTTTGTCCTATAGCTTAAGGGCAAGACTTTCAAACATTGTTCATTTACTGTAGGTAACTTTTTTGCATGACCTGACATTTACACTACATATCACACTTTTGTCCCCCACTTGTTTTGGTGATAGGATGTTATTACGTTTCTAAGGATTTTATTTTAAAACTGGTTCTTTGCTAAATTAAAACTTTCCCCAGAACATGTTCAGGTACAAGGAGTGGACTGAAAATGAGTGAAAAAAGTCACCAACCTTCATACAACCTGGAATACTACTGCTTAAGATCACTTAAAATTGGTCATCCTGGTCTTGGTTATACAAGCATTTCGTGCACGTTTTGTAGCTGAGATTTTTATGTTTTTTTAAACCAGAAATAATATAATCAGTGTAAAATAATATTGAATCATTTCCATTATTTTGAAGTGTTACACAGAAAATATACCTACCAATCACTAGGCAAGCTGCTGGCCAGCTGTAGGGATCATTCAGAAACAAGGAAACCACCTGAACAGGATCGACCAAAACACCGTACCTAAAAAAACAAAACAAAGAACGATGGCCAAAAGAAAAGCCAGGATCCAAATTAAGACAGGTGTGTTTTTACAGATCTGAGCTTCAATGTAAGTAACAACTGATGCAGCAGAAAACTGAGCGCTGGCTCAGTTTTCTGCTTCATATATAATATTTTCCACAGCGGTTATTTTAACTTCTGAGAGGAAAAAAACCCCACAAGTGTAACAAATGACATTATGACGAGATGAGTTACATGAACCTCGTGTCACATTTAAACACCACCCTCATTAATGTTAAGAATGGCACATTGGGTAAAAGTAGTCCATGAAGCCTTTTGAAATAATAGCTAATAAAACATTCTCACCGTAAGAGGTTTTCTAAGAAGAGGCGCGCGTTGCTCAGTACCTGTAACAAAAAGACAGACAATGATAATATTTCTTGCACAACAATCCTCCTTACACTGTTCTCCACATGTACATTTATTCATGGTTCTCATTTTAAAGCCTTCAGCTTTAATTGAATTGCCTCATCGTTCTGTATCACTCTCTCCTCCATGGTCGTCTCCTTCTCTTGCTCCCCTCTTTTGCACTCCTTGCTGTATCCTGTCCGTTTGCTCTCCTCAGCTAAATGGATTGTAATATCTTATTACCAAACACAAAATCTCTGGGTCTGTCAGAATGAAGGAAAAACCTCCTATAATGAACACAATGATTTGTTGGATTAGCGGGGTTCACCACCTGAATCTCCTCGTTTCCTGCTATAATTGGCCCATTCTCCCAAGCACGGGCGAGAAAGAACTGCAAATGTGCTAAGCTTGACACTAACAGGTCAGTTATTTATGGTGGATGTACACTATTCGACATCTCTAGAAATACACATTAGCTAGTTAGCTCATCTGTTCACACTTCATCACAATGCAGTTAGCGTTGCAACGCAAAATAACAAATGTGATCTTCATCGTGTGAACAGTTTCAATGAAGAACTGTTTGAGGTTTCACTAAAAATCTGACCAATACTCTTGGAGAAGCAGCCATTCTTGTGAATGGGGAATAGATGAACAACAGATTCCTGACTATGGCTAAAGCTCATAGGGTTTTTTTTATTGATGAGTGAAAAATTATCTGCCTGAACTATTTAACTTGAACAAAATACTTTAGAGTCTTGTGTGTCTGTGTGTGTGTCTGTGGTAAAGCTGCTGAGCCCCGCCTGAGAGGAACTCTGCACAAAGAGGAAATGAGTGGACAGAAGCAGCACAACAGTAATGACAGCAAAACGTGACTCTGCATATTTTTTCCTCTTCACTTGGATGAAATGCAGTGAAAACTCTGCATTTTATCAGGATGAATGTTGGCTGAAACGCTGGTGACATTTTTATACAATCACCATTAGTACAAACAAGGGTCAGCAGAAGTGTCGGAGGTCATGCCCATATATCAGAAGATAAGTTAATCAGGGTCTTAATCCGGACAATCGTTTTGTTACTATTTAATGCAATATTGAATTATCTCAGTGTATTAGTCTATGACAGTGGATGGTCTGTATCACAAAAGTCCATTACTATCTATACTAATTGCTAAACTGATATTAAGTCATATGCAATAAAATAAGATTTATCTTACTGAAAAAATCAATAATCAAAAAGTCTAATTACAGGAAGTGTGGTTAGACAGATTGTTCTACTAATAGCTTGGAGGTGTCCACCTGACAGGCCTGTACTGCGAAGCAGGATATCATTGTATACAGGTCAGTTGGGGGCTAACACTGGTTTTTGTATTATGAAGGTGGTCCATCTTACTGGGGTACATCACGTGGTAACTTATGCGTGCAACCCTACACCATCGGGGCTGCAGCTGAAGCAAGCTGATAACCAGTTTTCTTCGACTGCTTATCCTGACTTCCATTACTTCCATGTACATTGTAATCATAAAAATCATATTTCATACATACATCTGTCAAAACACAAAACTGACAATTACACCCACACTAAAGAGCTGCTGGAATTAAAATTAAAGAAAAAACATGAGTGGGAAATAGAGATGGGAAAGACGCTTGGCTTTATGTCACTGGATACATGTTGGCCATGTTTGGAAATTCATTGAAATATCAACAAAAATATCATCTTATGTGCTCAAACAACAAACAAGATTGTCAATGCTTTTTTTTTAGGATTTTCATGGGAACACATGTTTCCTTTTGTCTGTGTCTTACCAGCATTACCACACACCAGTTGAGGACTCCTCTGTAGTTTTTATAACCACTGGCTGAACCAGCAGGGACTCCTGTGTCTTGTGACAGTTACTGAAATAAATCAGATGGATACAGTAAATGAGTGAGACAATTAAAAAATGAATGTATTTATGTTGCATTGATTTTCATTCGAACTCTAGCTGCAACAATAGGACAAAGTTAAATACACAGTGAGATGCGCTAGGAGCTCTGTGAAGGTTTTTATAGTCCTGCAACAAACATGTCCTGTGTAAAACTAAGTAAACCCAATCAACAGCTTGTAGAACCACCTTTAGAAACAAGAGCTTTAAGTAATCACTTCCTGTCTGTTTTTATTATTATCTCACATCACTGTGGGGAAATTTGTCCCACTCTTCTTTACAGCACTGCTTCAATTGCTTGAGGTTTGTAGACATTATGTGCACAGATCTCTTTTACCGATGGCTGTAGACACTCATGTTGTGCATCTCTCCTGACCTCCTCTGTACATACTGGTGATAATTTGAATTTCAAATTTGGATTCATCACTTAATTGAAACTGTTGCCACTGATTTTCAATGGAGTTCTTGTGTAGTTTGGCTTCCTCAGACTTTTATCCTCCCTGTTTCCCTATATTAAAAACTGCTTTTTGACTACACCCTTCCACCCAGGCCATTTTCTGATGAGGCTTCAGCAATCAGCAATATAAACGAATATGCGAAACTTTTGCAAACAAACAGTGTTATATCGGCTGTTTGTGTTACATAACTGGTCTGAGAAGATTAAGTTAATTCACGCCTATTCATAGGTTCCCCTTTACACAGCCTCCACGAAACAACCCACATTGTGCATTTATTTATTGGAGACACATATACCCGATCTTAAAGTTCCTGGAACTCGGCCCAGCAGCACTAAAGAAGAGCGGGGAGTGTAAGTATGAATGAATGAGTGACAACTGTGGAAAAATAAACAGCTCTGGTCCAGATCGTCCCCCCACGACCCTGAACCAAGTCGTTACCGACAATGAATACAAGGACACGTATCTAGCATTAAGAAACGCTAGATACAACATTAGCCGTTAGCTACGGGCAGCATGTTGTCATATCTTTCCTGAAGGAAAACAAAAACTCTTCCCACTTTCCTCAAACTGGGCAACACTTCAGTAAGTTTATCCAGCTCACCTCAACATGTCACTATATCTTCCTGCGTTTCTTCTTATCGTTCTTCGTTTTATTCCGGCTTATTTCCAGTGATGGTCATGTTTGTTATGTTCATTTTCAAAGCTAATGTCTGCGGCCACCAAGCTCTGACGATCCCCTTCAAACCTCCTGTTCATCGGCTGGAGAGTCGCAGCTCTCGCCACTGCGAGAGTCGCTCTTCTCCTGTGGGTTAATGCTTCGGCTGGCTTGTAGTCACCCATGATGACAGAGAGACAGCGATGGTATAGAAAAACCAAGTAATAACTCACAGAAGTCCACTTCAACCGTTCACTGCGGATAATAGCATGCTTGTAGCAACGGTGACACCCAGGCGTAGTGTACAGAGAAGGGGAAGTAAAAGGGTTGCAAACAATCCGCCCAAAGCTCAGATTTCAGTACAGTTCACACACACCACCAGAGGTAGGAGTGTATTCATAACGCTGATGGTGAAAGCACTGTAACTTGTTTGACTGTTGCACACTGTGTGGCAGGTGAGTCAGAGTCTACTCTGAGGGCTTGGCGGTTCATGGAAGGGCGTAATGAGCTATTATCCGGGTCCCAAACAGCATGTAAGCATGTTAGAGACAACAAAGCGCAGAAATGCGGGGTTTGAGCAATAATAAAGACATGTGATGCATACTAACGCCAGCAAGACGGAAGACCAGCAAAATAACAAGTTGACAAAATAGTCCATCAGTTCATTTCCCATTCACCACTCTCGAGGCTTTATTATTAGAAGATGTTAATTAGAGGATCAGTGTAATTTTCTTGTAGTTCATGTTGGGGCAATTAAAAGTTGAGTCCAAAATAATCAAGTATCAGCTAAAGATGTAAATGAACTTTTATTGCAAGTTTAAGTGCCAAACACGCGGCTGAGGTTGATTAATTTCAAGCCAGGGGTGTCATGTTTTGATGGCATTTGGATTAAGAGTAGACTAAGCAAGTGTCTAGAAATTCATTTTGAGAAGGGGCTGGCGAGGTGGGACAATAGCATCCACATCTATCTATCTATCTATCTATCTATCTATCTTTAATTATAGTTATTTAGTCTTCTGTTTATTATGGTGATTTTTTGCTTTCTGTAGCTATGTCTTGCTTGATTCCGTTCTATCCCATGTTGGTCTGTGCCCTCTTTAAGTGTATTCAGTTTCTTGCCAGATGTTTCCACTTTGCCCTATTCCCTTTTGTTTAGACAACCGTTTGATTGTCTGTATTCCTTGTTGCGTTGTCCCCTCATACCCGTTGTGTATGTGGTAGCTCTGACCTGGCTCTGTGTTTATTTTTGTGTCTTTGTAAATTAGCAGTAATAAAAGTCAAATGCTTTCATGTCCTGTCTCCTGCATCCTGTACTATGAGTCCAAATCCTTCCTTCAGCACAGCGATACATGCTAAGAGTTAGACTGTATGATGAACAGAAAACAGAGAATCAGCACTGGTTCTGGTAAATGGACTGGTTCTTATATAGTGCTTTTCTACTCTACTTGAGCACTCACTTTATACAACATGCCTCATAAACCGATACATATGAGTACTTTTTTCTACACCTGAGTGCTTTCTAACTAACATTTACACACATTCATACTCCAAAGCTGTGCCTGTATGGTGTCCATCTGTGTGATGAACTAAACTACTTCTGCCAAGGACAGACCCATGTGAAGGCTGAATGCTGAGTTTACCGCTAAAATCATCAATGTCAATGGGGAACTACAACAGTAAAATTAAACAATACTTCAGCGCAGTTGTTTCTGTGGTAAACTAGGATTGAGTAACTTCAAAGAAACACAGCTTGCAACATGTACAAGCTCAGCTGTGAAACCAGAGTGCACAAGACCCCTAATGCAACTTTTAAGAACCAAAGAAAGAGCGAGTGAAAATCAAAGGCATTAACCAATTTAATTGGACCGTGGAGAACAGTTCATTTAACCATGTCTGTGCCATATGGGTGAAAAAAGTGCTGTGATTGACTATAAAATGAAGAAGCACTGAATAAGTGCAGCCATGCTTTCTTTTATTAAATACAGTGGCTAGATGATTCCTTTGGGTGTACAAGGCCTATCCATAGGCATGCCATTGTTTCAAGCTGTGGTTGTTAAAGTGATGAATATCTCTTTTCAGTGATGTGGCACTGATGCCTAATCTAGAACCGGTTTCACGCATTCCCACTGGGAAAAAATGCCAAAAGGCTGCAACTTGCCACCGACACCACAAAATAGCTGGGCCAGAAGTTGTAGGCCACTTATATCAGGGTGCAAGTGATCAAGTGCTTCTGTCCACACTGATTTTTTTATGTCATGGAAACTGCACCAACTTTTCTTGTACCCTGTAAGTTACTGTACTCTTGATGTAAAAGACTGTTTGAAAGCTTTTTTTTAATGAGAATGCCCTTTCTGTCTGTTCTAGTTCAGTGTGTTTATCCATACTAAGGTGAGAGCTGATCAGTGGCATTGATTCGGCTTTATCAGTCCTTAAGGTTGTCTTTTAGAGTAATGAGCCCGCCTGCAGTTGTCGGGATAAGAGACCTTGGGGAAAGATCAATAAGAAACTTATGACTAATTGTTTTAACTCTCAAACTCCTGGACGAATTTGTCATAGACCTTTTTTTTCCCTTGGAGTGACTGTAAAAATATCAAAAGCTGCCCTGTTTGTGGATTATAAGCACAAATCCCCATTGCTTCCACTGAGTGTCTTTCCTAATGACTTGTAATAATCTTCCACGGGGAATGCTCTTTCTAAGGGGACATCTCAACAGTCTTAGAAAGTCCACAGCCTTTTCTATCAGCCTGTCATATAAACCAGTAGAGGGAGTCCAAGGCTTTAATCCCGTCTCTGTACTGTGGTGAGTCAGAAGCTTATTTGAGGGTTCCAGTTTAAGGCTGAGATTTGTGAAAACGTACATGTTAAACTCAGCACTAAAATATCAATTTTATGCTGTGTTAGTGAGTCAAACAGTATTTGTTTATTCAAAATGCATGAATGATTGTAAGAGAGATGATTTTTTTCCCCTTCTTGAAACATCACAAGGAGGGCTTTGTAAGCATGGTGAGAAATATGGAACTTGTTTAGCTTGGACCCAATGCCCTCTCTTTCCTGTAGTGCACTGAAGCCACTCTGTTGC